CTGTTGAGCAGAGGGAGAGACAGTCGAGGGTTCTCTTTCCTTTTGTCTGTGATGAGAATGCTGGTCTCTCACTTTACTGAGGAATGAGGGTCTAGGAGGAATCATCTGTGCCACTTAGGTACTTCCCATGCCACAACCGCGAAAGAGACGATGTATTTTTAGCTTTGGTTTAAGTCTTCGGTGGAAGTTACTTAAACCGTCGTGGTTTAGATAATTCAGAATGCACATGCTTCCTAAGTCACTCCAAAAATGTCCCTGTGCCCCACCTGGTAGAACCAGGGCCGGCCTGCAGAGCCCTGTGCTGCAGGAGGAGGCTTCAGGCAGAGGTGGTCTTGTGCACTGGAGCTGGGCAGGAAGGCGGGTGCCATGATTCTGGCTTTGTGTCAGAGGCAATTGTGATGTCTACCTTGATGTGTGACATTAAAAAAAAAAAAAAAGGAACTATATTGTCTTTACTCTAAACGCTGATTCTGTAGATTATGTTGTAAATTCTGTGTAGTTTTCTTCCATTTGTCTTAAGAAATTCTGATCTAGCAAGTCACTATGTGATTTCCAGGGTAAAACTTTAGGCAATAAGTTGTTCTAGAAGGTTTTTATTTTTTGTAGCTGAGTGGCCCTCAGATTGTTTTGATGATAGGACACACAAAGAGAGATTCATTCTGGATCGGTTCTTAGCACACACATTTTTGTATGTGTGTAACTGAAATAAGTTTTTCAAAACAGTACTTGTGTTTCATGTTAAGGCATTGATATTTTCTGTTTTATACTTTATTTTTAAAAATAGGGGCTGGGGATATAGCTCTGTGGCTGAGTGCTAGCCTAGCATGCACAAGGCCCTGGGTTCCATTCCTAGCAACAGTAAAAAGAAAAACTTTTTTGTAAACCACTTGTGGGGTTGCAGCTTACAGCTTCAAAAACAGTCCCTCACTAGGTATGGTGGCTCATGCCTGTAATCCCTGCAATTTAGGAGGCTGAGGTAGGAGGATTGCAAGTTCAAGGACAACCCTAGCAGCATAGCAAGACCCTGTCCCAAAATAAAAAATGGGATAGGGATATGACTCAGTGGTAAAATGCGACTGGGTTCAATCCCTGGTATGGCGGCGGGCGGGCGGGGGGACCCAACACTGCCTTGATCCATAGCTGTAGTACTTCATGGGTCACTTTCCCCAAGAATTGCCCATACTTTTTGATACGCTTTGCCTAAGGAGCCTTGCAGCCCCAGTGTGATTGTGGGCCACCATCCTGGTGGCTGGTACTTTTCTCCCTCCACAGCCTCCTTCCCTACTTCTCGGCTTCAGTGGGAAGTTCACACCATGCCTGGCCTTGCTGCTGTTGCCACGGCCTGTGCTGGAAGAAACCGGGTAATGGAGACCTGGTGTGTGATGACGTTGGTGCTCCATCCTTCAAGCCCAGCTCTGACCCAAAGATCAGAGGCTCTGTGGTCCTTCTGATGGGTGTGTTGAGAAGCTGGGTCACATGTGTGGTGTGAGGACAGATAAGCCTGGTGTCCACTTCACAGCTGGCAGCTCTGACTGGTGCTCGCTGGGGAGTCTGGGGAAGAGCCCAGGAGCTACCTGGGAACTGTGTGCTAGTCCTGGTCCCAGGGCCTCTGGCCTTCACATACAGCGGCAGCACACCTCTGCGTGACGTGGCACACCCTGCTGTCCTTCCTTCTGACTTAAGAAAAATCATTGGTTTTGAAGTGGGGAGGAGTGGACCTGAACATAGTCCATCAGTGTGTAGTGAGCAAGCTCCAAGAGACACTGTTTAATTTGTGTGTGTGTTTCACTTTTTCATTAAGAGAACATGGATTGTTTCACCTTACGTGACACATGTCAGGAGCGCCACTGGACATGGTCATTAAATTGGAAAAGTAATCCGATGGCTCAGCAGAAGGGAACCTGTATAATTGTGTTACTAGCCTGCAGTGTTTTCACCCTGGAGGACAAGATGGCAGGTAGCGGAGGCTGAAATTCACAGTGTCTTGCCACTTTAAAATCACCACAAGAAATGCCAGTATTCACTTCACAAGTTAATTTGTAGCTTCTTAGAGTTAACATGATGTTTGGAAATAATTTTATAATACAAATTACTAAAAATTTATTTTTTATAACATTGGTATAAAATGTCACACTCTGGTGACATCCTAAGACAGTTGTGAGGGCCTTTAATGTTGTCTCTTCAGGGCCCCTGTCATGCCATCCCTGACAGCTGACCATCACACAGAGGTGTCAGAGGTATCCCCCCGCTGTCACACTCCTGCACATCTTCTCATGAGAAGTCTTCCAGGAGAGCTCCTCGTCCTCCCTCATCCCACCGACAGCTCTTCTGCAGTGTTGAAGCCGTTTGTAAAAATTCATGTCATGCCTTTAGCCTAAACACTTTATTTCCTAAACTTTCTCCAGTTTTGGCAGCAAAAGGATGTTTTGAAACCTATGCCTCTTGGCCAACGCATCTTCCATTGACTGGTGGAATGTTGCTTTAACCCCATTCATTTTGAGCTGGCATTATTTGGGGCTTGATTCCTGTTTTATTTAAAAAATAATAATTTAATAAATAATAATTTATTTCTTAAATAAACTATTTAATTTTATTTCCATCTTCCTTGATGTAAATAACAGCCTTCTCCTCCCTTTAGTGGGGAGGTTACTTTATCTTTGACTTGTGTTAGAAATTGTTTTTCCAACGTGACAAGGAAACTTGATAAGGCAGGAGTGAGTTTCCCAGCCTCACAGTACCTCGGGGAATTCAGCAAACTGTCTCATTGGAGAAAAGGAGCTGGTGGAGTAGGAGACCATATACCCAGTAATCACTGTAATGGAACCTCCTAAAGTTGCAGGAGACTGCTGTCATCCGAGTTCCCCTTCCTCACCCTTGAAAGCCAGCATTCGGGGAGAAGCCCAGGGCCAGTACTCGCCTTGCTTTCTTGCCACTCACTGAGATGCGGCAGAGTGTGGGTTAAGAGCAGCCTGGGAGCCAGCCTGACAGGAACTTGGCAGGTCACACACCATTGAGCTTTCCTGTCTATAAAACGGGTGAGATAATGGTGCCTGCCTCCTGGGCTGCTCCAGGATGCACCACAGCTTTGGCACCGAGCATTGAGTAGGGTGAGCACTCGGGCAGGGTTTGCTGCTGCACCGTCAGTGTCGGTCTTCTCTCTTTAGGTGTCTGGCAGAGCTTAACTCATGTTATCAGTTTAGAACCCAGACATCTCCCTAGTAAAGCAACAAGGCACCTAGATGTTTTGTGAATTTTTGCTGAAACGCACTTCGGGGGGAAAAAATGCACTTAGGCTCATGACTCGTGAGTAGCTTTAATGATATTGTCTTCTGATGATCAGTCACATTCTGACTTCCTACATCAGCAGTGACTGGAGGAGGAAGAGGAGGATTGGTGGGGTGGTGACAATACCAGTCTACTCATATTAGGTAGACACACAACTTACGGCCAATAGGCAACAAATTTCCATTTCTTGTATGATGGTACTGACATTTACACCAGTTTTAAAACTATAATGAAACCAGCCCAACAGAGGACTAACACTGGCATGAGTCCCAGGGGAGCAAAGCTGTTGTTTTCCAGGCCTTCTGCTGACTGCTGCTCTCGGTAAAATGTAAGGAACTGATCGGCGCCTCCCTTATAGTCTTCTGTTAGATGAGGCCTCCCCATGGTGGGTTGTGGCAGAGAGAACTGAGAAAAGTTCTGAAAGTCTCGAGAGCTCAGGAGCTCATCTCATTCTTCACGAGCACCCCCATCAGCACTGACTTTGATTTCTCATTATCGTTCATGCATCGTTTAGAGCAGACAGAGATGGCTTTCCAGTTAATCAAAATTTTTTTTAACTATCTAAAAGGAAATTCTTAAGCCTGGAGCAAATCATTTCAAAAGATCTTGTTTATATTTACCTACTGCTCCACTAAGTGAAAGAAGAGAATGTTTTCAAGTACAGTTGGAAAGTAGTTTCTGCAAATTAGAATATTTCTGAGTATATCAGCAGAGGGAAAGTAAGGACCTGGGATTCAGAGTGAGGCAAGCTGGGCTCTCCTTTGGCTTTTCCTCAACTAGCTGTGGAATGGGTTTGATGACATGTGAGGAACTCTCCAGCTCTTATGCATTTTGAGTGTATGTTTCAGTATGCTACGTATTTCTATATGAGTGGCAGGAGTCCTGTTCTGATTTGCGCCTCTGGTCATCTGAACACCAGAGGCCACTCTGTAAACCTTGTAATGTGAGACCTGGTGTGGACGCACCTGTGAGACACCCTGTAGTCCAGGCCAGAGACTCATGAACCTGAGTTATGACTTCCCTGGTCACTCCCAGAGCCTGAAAGGAGTCCAACGTGTATCTCCTAATGAATTCTACCTGGGTCCCATGTAAGTCAGGAACGAGCATGCCGTGTGGTGGATGAGAGAGGGAAGGGTTTGGCATGTTCAAAAATTATAGGACTTGATCCCCAAATTTTCAAGCAGTGTACTTACTGGATTGAAATGGCGTTCATCTTTTAGGATCTGTAGTTCATAAGATTTATTAATAACTAAGCTATGTATTCTTTCCCTAGACACTCAGCTCTCAGGAAGCCCTGGGTTTATGGTGCAGGATAAACAAATAGTTGTTAAAATGTTCCCAACATCTCTGTACTATCTTCCTTTTAGAATGGGCCCAGCTCTACTCCCAATCGCTCAGAGGCCTTCCATGTTCATTTCCCTGGGTGAACACATGCTCACAACCCTGGCAGATGATTCCTTAACATCCTGTTTGGTAGTAAATGCCAACCAATGTCTCAGACAGCCGAAGACGAGATGTGCAGTGTTTTCTGCGCTCGGGTCTCCTGGTGACTGCTCTCTCTGCCTCACCTTGGCCCTCTGCCTTCAGTCCCCACCGCATTCAGGGTCAGGCTCTGAACCTCTGTCTCTTTTTACAATGAAACTTTTTTTTAAGAATGTTTTACTGACACTCATTGAATAACTGGCAGCATTAACCACTTGCTTTCTTCTTTACAGACACGAGACGACTTCCTGGGCCAGGTGGACGTGCCCCTTAGTCACCTTCCGGTAAGGACAGCTACGTGTCTGTGTTGCATGCTGAGGGTAGAGGCTCCTAATTGCTTCCAGCTGGTGTGTTTGCAGAGTGGCATTCCCTCGCCACCACTAAGAGGCCACAGCGAGGAGCCTGTGCTGCGCCCTCTTCCTGGTTAGAAGGTGGGCCCTGTGACAGGATGGACAGAGGCTCTCTTAGTTGTAAGATCCCGTGTATCTGAGTCACATGAGCACTCCTGTCAGCCTCCTCAACTCCATCTCTTTTCTGCTCTAACTCCTCTACCTTTGTGCATCACAGAAGGGACATCTCCTTAGGTCAAGCCCCTCTTCTTGTTACTTGGTATGTTTGCTCACATATCCACCCTTTGGTCTCTGCTGATATTCATTTCCCTGAGTCTGGAAGTCTATCTGCTGTGTGTCTTCCCTGTGTTTACCCTGTTGGGCTTACAGCTTTCTTAGTCGGCATGGAGACAGAAGAGATTCTGAGTGGCCTGACCCCTGGAAACCCTGCCTTAGTGTTAGAAAGTGCACTGAGCTACCACATGTGCGGCCACTGGCTTTCCTCTGTGCTCAGATGGGCAAAACAGTTGAGGTTGTTGCTATACCTGCTTCTGGGGTTATTGCCTGCCACCCGAGGCAGTAGATACAGTGTGGGATCAGACCTGGTGGAGGTAGACATTCCATATTCCAGCTTCTGCTTTCCAGATTGTTCCATCTCCTCCTGGCCTTCTTCCCCTGGGCAGCACAAAGTAACTGAAGCAGAAGCTGTGAGAAGTCAAATATTTCTGCCTTACAAGGGTGCTGTGTTTTGTCAGTGCTTTGAGTGCGTAGCATAAATAGTCTATAAACTAGAATGACTTAAACCACGTAGCGCAAGCCTCCCGCTGTGTGCAGACTGGGGCCATTCCTGTACGTTAAATGCCAAGGCTGGATCTTCCTGAGGAAGCTGTGAGGAGATGTTGGGAAGGAATGTGCTAGCAAGCAGTTGACTCTTGCTCACTCACGGAACCTATTATGGGAGAAAGGGTTCAAATGCATTCCCTCCCCGAGGACAGGAGCCAGAAGTGATAGCATTGCAATATTTTTTGTTTCTATTTAAAAACCTGAAGCTCCAAGGTGCCTCAGGAAGGGGTGTGTGTGTGAGGGGAGGGGAGTGGTTTCTCCACGAGACCAATTCCTAAGTCATCAAAAAAATATATTATTTTCATTGGTTCACATTGAGAGGATATGAATGTCTCGTGTGTTGTGAGGAAAGACTCTGCATTGCTGCATCTGTAGGTTTCTACTCGCGCTCTTCAGATGAAGCTATAATCTTGTCATGATTTTAAACAGTGGTGTTTGGTTGGTTCTTTGGGTGCCCCCAAGTGCCCTTTCCCTAAAGTAACAAACCACACCCTGGCTAAGATGCTTATAAGAGGCATAAGTTAAATATTTAACGATGTGCCATTAAGCCCTGTTTGAGTGATTTGCTGGTGGATGGTTTTGAAAGGTGGGCCATAGCTTCCAGAGAACAGAAGAATGTTCCCCTTCAAGAGACCAAGTCGGCAAAGGGAATAGACTTCACCTTGGGATTTTGAATGGTGGGTCTCCCCTGATGTTCATTTCCCTGAGTCTCTGCATTGCCCACCTGCTGTGTGTCTTAGCTAGTGTTGACCCTGTTGGGGCTTACAGCTTTCTTAGTGTGAGCTTTCAAAGAAGAAAGCAGTGTGAGGCCCAGGGGAGAATTAAAACCAGGTTAAAGAGGGTGGAACAGCGACCCTCTGGAGTGGATGTGTACTCCAACATGAGCCATGTGGATGGAATGATGGGTCCTCCCAGTTACGCATGTGCCTGAAGAGCAGCCTGCAGCAGACCTCCATCCTCCCCATACTCCAGGGTGACTAGCTTTTTGAGCCAACTCCATTCAGGGGAATGAACCACAAAGACCACAAGAGAGGACTCAGGTTATGTTCTTTATCTTCCTTGTGGTCATGGAACCTAAGTAGCATATTCTGAAAGGGCATGGCTTCTGGTCCCAGGATTTGAGGTGCTTTCCTGTACATACGTATTTGATCATATGTGAAGCATACTTAGGGAAAAATTGCAGAGTGTCATTAATTGAATCTGATAATGCACGAGTGTGAGTGTGTAACATGGAAACTAGCATTGGAGTCTGTTTTAGGAATGAATAACATCTGCTCTCTTCTTGGTGGCTCCATAAGCATTGTCAAAAAAGATCATCTATGACCCATAGATTCAATATTTGTCAGAAGGACCAAGTTTTGGATAAAAGAAAATATCAATCTAAAAAAGTGCTCCAGCTGTCTTATCAGTCCTCAAGGAAGCTATTGGAAACAAGGACGTGGTGGTCGAGTGGCCCCTGCCAGCTCACCCAAGCCTTTTCAGGGAATAAGGAACCTGGGTGTAGGACTATTGATTGATTTGATATGGCCCCACGCTCTGCTGGAGAATTCACTCCTTCAACAAATATCCATGTATAGATAGGACATAGTTTTTGAGGATGGTTCAGTGAAACAAGTTCCTCTGTGGTGTGGCCAGGTGCCTCCATTATAGGAGCCACACCTGCGAGTTTAGCATTTGAAATGTGGCTTTGCCTGGGAGCTGAATTTATAATTCTACTTCATTTTAATCAAGATTTAAGCTTACGGAGCCATACGTGGCAAGTGGGGTGCCACATGGAATGGCACATGGGAAAATCAAACCCGAGATCCCTGACTGAGGTCAAAAGTGCCTGATTCTAGATTCTTCTTTCCTCAGATAAGAGTTCTCACTACCGGGGCACCACAGGTGGGAGTTTTTTATTTCTTTTCCCTCACCTGAGGCTGTTTCTCTCCAATTCTACATATGTACCATACTAAATATATTTAATTTAGATAAGGAAGGGCTTTGCATTTTGGATGTTTTCCAAATCTGTATTACTGCCTGTTCCTTCATGCTGACGTGTTATTCACTTATTTATTTTAAAGCATTTGAAACCTGGAATGAGGCATTGTCTTGTTGCCCAAGAAATTATAAGCCCTTCTCTTTTTTTTTGAGGAGGAGGGAGGTTCCAGGGATTGAACTCAGGGGCACTCAACCACTGAGCCATACCCTCAGCCCTATTTTGTATTTTATTTAGAGAGAGGGTTTCACTGAGTTGCTTAGCGCCTTCTTTCTGCTGAGGCTGGCTTTGAACTTGCGATCCTCCTGCCCCAGCCTCCCAAGCTGCTTGTCTCTGCCTTGCTTGCTTCTGCCTGCAGATGGTGCCAGCCCTCAGTGACACCCCTCATCTAAACTAGGAATGGGACAAGCAAGGGTCGAGACAGGAAAGTGGATTTGGGGTAGACTCTCATGATTGTTAGGAAATTGTTTTTGATAATTTGAATATTTCTGTTTTATGTTTTGTGTGTGATTTGGAAAAGGACATCTTGGAGGCCACATAACTGATTGTTGGCGAACTCTTCCTTGTTAACTCTAGAGGCCTGTCGCTATGGTTGCCAGTGGATATTGGTGTTTACAATGTAAAAACTCACTTTCAGATTCTGAGGCTTGGCTCTTCTAGTGTCCCCATTTTCAGTCATGAATTTCCTGTCCTAGAGATGCCTCCCAGGCAGACTAGAGGGTTTGCTTAGCCTCCCTTGCAGGGCTCACCTAACAGCAGCTCCAGAGTGGAGACCTACAGGTGAACAGGCTCTTCGGCATTGTGGAGCTGACCCACGTACTCCTCCACAGCCCACTGCCAGGAGCTGGGTACCTGGGTTAATTAAGTGTCCTGTTGGGCCTGTGAGCCATTGGTGCAAGTCCAGGTTGGCACTCTGCCAGAAGACAGGGAGGAGGCAGCTGGGAACCAAGAGGTGGGGAGGGCGGTAGTGGAAGCCTGGGTTCCACATGGTAGAAACACACTGCCTCAGTTCTCAGCTGCCTTTTCCCCCTCTGATCATGGATTCCCCAATGCTTGGTTCTTACCAGATACTTCCAGATTCAGGAAGAAAATTTTGGAATTGTGGTTCACTTTCATGTGTGGTTGTGAGACTCAATCCTCCTGTTTTCTTTGTGGGGAAAGTAGATAGGAAGTAGGATTCACCTCTGTTTCCATCGCTTTATTCCAGATTAACTGCTCATCTTTAATACCTCTTTTCCATTTCATTTCATTACAAGGCGAGGAGTAAAAGAAGGGGGAGCCAGGGGAGGGCAAATAGGATTGGTAGGCTGACCCTCTATGTAGGTCAGAGAATTAAGGAAACCTGAATACTTACTCTAAGAAGTCTCCAAAAGTCAGGCTTTAGAAGAGGGCTCTGTAAGGCTTTATTGACTGCTATGTGGGAGATGGGTGAGTTGCCTATTAACCTTAACCAAGATAGCATGTCTTCCTAGAATGAGGGTGCTTTCCATAGAACGAGGGTGCATGCACCGATGAGACCAAGTTTCCATCCAGCTCTGTGACAGAGCCCCAGAGCTGGTCCAGTGCTCCTAAGCAGAGGCATTGGTGGCTGGGATGACATGCGTGTTACCTAGGAGATGCTGGCAGCAGCAGAAATGGAAGGCTGTGCCTGCGGGTCCTGTCGCCTGCAGCTTAAACGCAGTATCTCTTGTTTTCTACTCTGGGCACCCGAGCAAACCTAGATAGCTGTAACTGTACGTGTTTGTTGATTGTTTTAAACTGCGTTTTCACATTTGTTTGCTAAATTCAGTGCATAATTACTTAAAAGTTCATAGAGTATTTGATTAGTCATATCTACCAATTATTTAGGGATTAAAAATAACTGGGGCTTGTATTAACAACAGAATGAAATTCTGATGGGGTTTTCTCACTCTGCTTCTGAGCTTTTTCTTCTTCTTGCTGAGTTGTAGCTCCCTTGCCTGTAGAGACCCCAGCCCTCCCACCTCTGCCCAGCCAAAAACCCCACCTCTGTGGGCAGTGCCCGGGGGCAGAGTGCTCTTGTTACAATGTTCCCGTCTCCCACCTCAGTCAAGTGCTGCTTGGTGCAGCCATGGCTAACTTCTGACCTTTAGCTTTTCCCAAAGTAAAAAGCATTTTCAGGGTGCTGCCCTAGCTGCTGTTTAGTACTTGAGGGTAGCCAAGGTGGTCAACATTCTTTCACCCCTTTTCTATTTACAGCTCGTGGCAACTGATCCTTCTCTTGTGCAGAATCCAGTGTCATGGAATGTGGAGGGAGTTGAAGGGTATTTATGTATTCCCAAGTATATTTTCCAGATGAGGAAACTTAAGACCAGGGAGAGAGATTACCTGTCCAACAATTGGCAGGTTGTTCATAGAGCTGGACCCCACCCCAGCATCAGTGTGCCTAGGCACAGTCAAGGGTATGGGGGACAGGAGTAGCCTGAAGCTTAGGAGCTTCTGGTGGTTGCAGGCAGATTTTGAGTTTGAAGACCTAGGAGACCCTCCCCCTGTCCATTTGCCTGCAAAAATAATTTATCTCACCATGTGTCATAGTGACTGTACTTTCTGCTAAAGCAACTGTCCTCTTCAGGATGACAGCAGGGTATGTTCTTTTGAATTTGCATCTATTTGTGATGGCTTCTCACTAGGAGCATCCTTGGTACCCTCCTGGGATCCCCACCTGGCTTCTCTCCAGGTAGCATGAGCAGGTTGTGACCTGGATAAATGCATGTAGTTATCTACATGGTTACCATCCTGTTCAGGCTGGAGAATTTCCATGAAGGTGAATTTTCATCTTTAGTGCCCTGCCTCTTGTTGCCCAGCATTGAGTTGGCAATACTCCTGTGACATGAAAATGTAGAATTGACTCATGGCAATAATGGCCAAGCTTGTTAGGTGTGGTAGGCACCTTAGGACTGAGGTAAGCCACTACAACTAACCGACTTAACCTTCCCAACAACTCTCTTAAGATCCAGTCACTGATTCATTTTGTAGATGAGGACATTGGAGCACAGAGAGGTAAGGACCCTCTGGGCCACACAAAGCCAGGGCACAGACCACTCAATCTGTGAAGTGCTGGTGTTTGAACTACATGGTGTGTGCACAGATTCACTTCTGAGTCTGCTGAGTGCTGCTCTTCCCCACTCACTCCCTTGCTCTCTCCTCTATTCCCGGGTCCTTGTGCTAAGATCCTGTAAGCTGTGCTCATGCTGTGGGTTCCCTAAGGTTGTGCTGTTCTTCCTCCCACTTCTCCACCTGCCACAACCTGCCCACTCACTCCAGAATCATTTTGATCCCCAAGTCAGAGCCAGTCTTTTCCCTCCACCCTAAGTCTTAGAGATTGTAGCGGCCCCAAGTCAGTGGATGTGTGGAGCCACAGAGCCCCCTGCACTGTGACGGCCCCACCCATGCAGCTGAACCCCAAGGCCAGGACTGTGTCATAGCCACCCGTCACTGCTCTAGAAGTGTTTGTTGCTTGAATAAATGAAAAAATGAAGGAATACCAGCAGTAGAATTCTTGATTACTGAATGTTCCATTATGGGTAATGTATATTTAACTCTTTTTTTTGGTAGAAAATGTTCCCAAAATGTCTGATTTCGATTTACTATTTTAACTAAGAACAGTCCAGAGAATATAAAATTGACTTTGTTCAATGATACACTAGAATTTCAGGGCCTCAGTAGTTTTGATAGAGCAAATAAACTTACATCTGTGCCTGCTGAGCGCCAGGCAATACTCTTGGCACCAGCAATCCAGGGTGAGCACATTCAAGTCTCTGATCTCCTGGGCTTACATCCTAGAAGAGATGAATGATAAACTCATCAATAAACAAGAGTACAGGATAATTTCAGATAGCAATAGGGGAAGATAAAGGAGAGCGGTACAGTAGAGGAAGACGAGGTAGGCTCCATGGTGACAGTTTAAGATGAGGGCTCTGGGGGTGAGATGGCAGATGGAGACAGCCAGGCCATCTGGAGTCAGCTGTCCAGCAGAAAGACCTGCCAGGGGCTGGGTCCTACTACAGCAGGATTAGATGTGATTGGCACAGATGACAGATGAGGCCAGGATGGTTGGAGTATGAGGAGTGGTCAGGAAGACTGGTTCATAATGAGGATAAAGGTAATTAAAAACCCAGTCATATACCTTGTAGGTCATAGGAAGGAATTTTAATTTTATTACGAGACAAATAGGAAGCTATTGAGAGGTTAAAGCAAGGAATGACGTCAGCTGATACCATTTCAAATATAATAGTTTGCGCATACACATCCTTTGTATACTAAATCATTGTACTGTGGTTTGTCTCTTGCTATAAAAGTAAGTATTTTAAATTGCATTTAATTGAAGGGTCTAGATATTTGAGGTTTTACAAGTGTAGTATTTTTTAAAAATAATAAGTAGCAGGGCTAGGGCTGTATCTCAGTGGCAGAGCGCTTGCCTAGCACGTGTGAGGCACTGGGTTCAATCCTCAGCACCACATAAAATAAACAAAGGTGTTGTGTTTATCTACAACTAGAAATATATCTTAAAATCCTTTAAAATAATAGCAACACTTATGTTTCCCAATGTCCTGCTTCGTTAGGACAGACAACTTCGTACAATAAAGTGAATACTGATTTCTTTTCATATGAACAGATTTCATCTCATTTTAAAGCTCCTAGCTTTAAAAAGTAAGTCCCAAGAGAGGATCAGTTGGTGGCACTCCTTGGTCTCTATGCTGGAGATAAATCTGTCAATTCTTTTAGGCTAATGGCATGATGTTTTAATGCAAGAAATAAAGTTGCCTTCAAAAATTAGGTCTTGAGGCCTCTACATTTAGATTTCTTGAGTCACAAGGGAAAATAAGACACCAGTGACCCTTGGTTCTCTGAAGCTGATCAACTCCCTGAGATTGAGGCCGCACCCTGAAGTTAGAAATTACACTTGGCAGCAATGGCTAAATTTTGTCATTTGTCTGTGGCAGCGGTTGGCTCCTAAAACCCGATGTGGATAGTGACATCTAGTGGATCTTAAGTAGACAAAACCTCGTGTCCTATCAAATGCTCAATCAATCATCTAGTACCAGTGGAGGAACCAGGTTCCTTTCACCTTGGCCATGTTCTAAAGTATGAAAACGTATTCTCTAGAACCCAGATTTCTGTCTCCAAAACACAAAACTGTCAGGAGCATGGAAGCCTAACTTACTTTTTCTTCTCATAGACAGAAGATCCAACCATGGAGCGACCCTATACATTTAAGGATTTTCTTCTCCGCCCAAGAAGGTGAGGCTTGGGGTGGGCGTGGGAGGGGTGCTGTCCTGCTGGCTTCAGGCACTGGTTTCTTGGGGGACAATTTCAGCAGTCCCTGTAAGCAGGAAGGATGTAAGCAAGCCATATCCTTTATGACCAATTTTCTCCCTTTACGCAGTCATAAATCTCGAGTGAAGGGATTTTTGCGGCTGAAAATGGCCTACATGCCGAAAAATGGAGGTCAAGATGACGAGAACAGTGAGCAGAGGGACGACATGGAGGTATGCAGAGGAGCCGCAGGCCCTGGCCTGCCTTCCTGGCTCAGTGCCCTGACATTCCACTGTGAGGCTTTGTCATTGAAAGAGGAAAGAAGTTTATAAAGTTAAATATGAGAACACTTAGTGTCCCCAGATACATTTTTGATGGTCTACCAGTGTATTTTAGTAAAATTGAGCTTGTTTTCCTCCTCCTGTGACACTAACTGGACAGTGGGTCTTTAGACAGTGTGGAATACTCTGTTTACAGCCCTCTGCCCCAAGACTCCCCTCACTCGCCAGGGCTGTTGTTGCTTTGGGCTCTCAGCTCTCCCTAAATTCCTTGTTGTACCTGAAGCTGCCTCAGAGGTGGGCTAAGGTGATTCAGAAGGTCTCTCTCCATTTCTTATTCATTTGACCCACAGGTGATAGCCTGCATTAGAAGAGCTCTCCTCTGGAAATACCATTTTGAGATTAGTTGTCCAGAGCAATTTACTTTTTTGCCCTCCTGGCATAGTGGCCTCTCAGCTTTCTGGTCACATACCTGTGCCATGGGTCCCCTTGTACCTTTCTTCACACACCTCAGACAGTGCTGTTCCCTTGGACACACTCTCGTTGTTCTGAAAGTGCCCATTGAACAGGCCTCTCTGAGGCTGTCTCCACATCTGTTTGCAGCTGTCACGTATACTCGATACGTGAATAATGTGTTGTGGGCAAGCTGACCAACCCCCCACCAGTACCAAGCCATGTTCGCAGGTGGCGCTGGCTGCTGGCTTCGCAGCTCCCACACGTGGAGAGGACTGCAGTGGGTGGCAGGCCGTGGTGGAGGCTGATGTTTCGTCAGCACAGCAACAGATTTTTATTTCAAATCCAAGGAATTTTTTTACACTCTTCTTGCCTTCCAACTGCAGTAACCAGTGAATTACTTAATTTTCCAGTGACTTTACTAGGGGATGTTAGGAAAGCAATACTTAATGCCTAAAGTATGCGTTGTGAAAATGTCACTCTCACCCCGGTACCACGAAGCCTATTTGTGTGCAGAGCCTGAGGAGGCTGCAGCAGCCGCTTCTGGACAACTTCTTCTGGCTCCTGGGATTAGAGCTGACCAGGGCAGAGGCTTCCCTTCCTCTCCATGCTGGCCTCGGGGCCATCCTCCAGGGACCATCAGAGCCCTGGGCTTTCCGATCACCCGGGCTTTCTATTAGAACATTTGGGTTTATGGCTCACCTTTACCCTCAGGAGGTGTCCAGTGAATGTCAGCTGTAACGAGGCCCATGGTCATTGGCTTCCTACAGCCCTGTTATTCAGGTCAGAATAACAAACAGGAAACATGACAGGGGTATAATGTGACTTAAGTGACTTCACAGACTGCATATCCCAACCTGTGTGGCTCCCTGCAGTGGAGTCCTCTTGGCAGGCAGCATGAGTAAGACCACTGCTCAAAAGATTTTGAGACTTACATTTATTTTTTTTATTTATTTTATTTTTTTTTGAAATTCATCCAAATGTGACACACGAAGCCATTGCAAGAACCAGGGCATGGCAGAGCAAGGCAGGAGGTCACAGAACACTGGCTCTTTCCCCACCATCTGAAGAAATAACCTCATAATCTTCATTGAATTTTGTTCCACAGCATGGGTGGGAAGTTGTTGACTCCAACGACTCGGCTTCTCAGCACCAGGAGGAGCTTCCCCCTCCCCCTTTGCCCCCAGGGTGGGAAGAGAAGGTGGACAACTTGGGACGTACTTACTATGTCAATCACAACAACCGGACCACGCAGTGGCACCGCCCCAGCCTAATGTGAGTACCACACAGTGTGGGGGCACCCCGTCACCCCTGCAGATTAGGTGTGAATAGGGTGACTCTGGGACGAGGCTGGGAAATTAACCATGTGTCAGTCAAGCAAGTGGCTCCTCACTGAGGTGGGGACTTGAGAGCCAGCGAACGTGGGTCAGGAGGGAAGACGCTGTCACCTGATGTCTTGTGCTGCAGTTTCAGTATGAGCTGATTTGCTTCGCACGTCTTCTTTACATGGAATCCTGACATCTGTTTTTCCAGGAGTTATTGTATGTTTAATGATTGTATTGCTTCCCTCTCCTTTAGCAGATTCTCCTGACTGACCCAGAATGCAAAACAAGCAAACGGGCTTTGCAGTTTTCTGTTTTCCTTTGAATTGTTTGATTTTTATTTCTTTATATTATTGGATTTGGAAACCCTCTGAAAAGCTTTTTTTTTTTTTTTTTTTTTGCATTTTGGGAAATGTATATATTATCTCCTTTATATGATTAGAAATGCATTAGAGATTTGGAAAGTAAGAATTAATAATTATTATTTATTCTAATCATTCACCAGCTTCAGGGATGCAGTGACCCAGTTAATGTTTTATTCCCTCACCTTTTTTTTTTTTCATAAAAGCAAATGAATCCTAGTTAAACCTCAACTACTATAAAAGGTTTTGAAGCAGGGTGTTGTTAAATGATAATGCAGAGCAAGATGTAAATCTTGTGGTACATAAGAAAGAGCAAAACCAAAGTACTACGGAAAAGAAAAATTATTCTAGAACTTACGAGCTTCCTAGCAATCAAAACGAGTGGGGAGTTATCAATTATTGTATAATTCTCAATATGCAATGAAGGCAGGAATACTAGCTGAGAACATTTTCTCTTCAACCCATATTCTGAAAGAAATTTGCTAGTGATACTTTTTAGATAGGTGGTGATAGCGGTATACTGAGAAGTGTTCTTATAAACCTTTCTGAGAGAGCGCAGAGATGCTCTGCATGTGACTAAAGTGGAGAAGGTGACCAATTTGGCCGGTTTAAGTTTTACTTAATTTGGAAGTAAAGCTTACAGAATCTGGAGCAATGAATACCTGATCCTCCCTGAGCCTCCAAGTTGGGTTCTCATGAGTATCATTTGTCCTTGGTCACTTTGGACTGCCCATTAGCCCATTGTTCCCAGAACAGCATAACTATCAAGACATTGGGGTAATGCCGAACTCTTCTTGGCTATCTTTTTTTCCCATAGAAATACAAATGGACATGATTTAGTTGATACTATTTATTTGCTCATAATTTTATTTATTCACATATTCCCTCTCATTAAAAATCTTAGCTATTAAAAGTATGATAAGTCATTTGACTACTTTAGGTGTTTGTAGTAAAATTGGCCATGGACCCCTCTTGGGCTTGGCTGCATCCAGTGATGGGAAGTAGTAACTATACCCTAATGGAGCACCTTCCTCCACCTGCCCCCAGACAGCACCTGAAAAGGTGGCATTGCTAAGATGGCCAGAGTATCACGTGACCTTTGTGGAAGAGGGATCAGGAACAATAAAGGGACCAAATCACAAAGGAAGAAGCAGAAGTAGCTAACACACAGATGGAAAGGTCTTCAGCTTTGTTCATCGGTACCTTGCAGATTGAAGTCTGCGGTTTTGAGATAAATGGGGACACTTGATACTTTCTTGACCTCACAGAATTATGAAGCTCTGATGAGGGAATTCCTGAGAAGACACTTTGGAGTGTTTTCTCTGCATTCCATCTCCAAACTCATCACCACGTGTTCATTAAATAAGTACAGATTCTGTGTGTCAGTTGTACCTCAGTAACTTGGTGAAAAACAGTACCACCTTTGAGGACAGTGTGTTCCAGAGAACCAAAGCAAACCAGAGGGTGCGCCCCACGTAATGCTGGCTCCTCACTAAGCCAGGAGCAGCGAGGGGAAATGCAGTTCTTGGCATGAGTTCAGGTTCCAAGAGAAACTGGGACATGGCTGTCCCTGTCAGTGAGGCATCAGTACCAGAGGGAGCGGCTGAGCCAGGAAGGACATCAGCGGAACTTGGTGGAACACAAAGATGCCTTCCTTTCCAGATGGCTCGGCTTCTAGAAAGCAAGACAAAAGTCAGGGGGATGTCGGTCTCCTTGACAGAGACCTTTCATCTCCTCTGCACTTTCATGGATTGGGGTTCTTTTCCCTCAATTTTGTTAGGTCCGGTCAAAAGAACTTGGACCCCCAGAATTATCTTTGAGAATTGATTTAATTCAAAAATAACCCAGTTTTCACAGAATGCTGCAGCACCATTAGAGGGAAATGGCTGCTGTTAGGGAGTATCCTAGTCAAGAGGTCAGACAGTGGTTGTTTGTGCCAAGCCAAATGGTGACCACCTGCTACAAGCCCAGTGAGAACAGGTTTGAGTTCTGTCATTGACTCCCTGCTGCCCTTGGGACATTCCCACGGGGTTCTTCATCGCCCTGCTCTCTTGCCACCCACAGACACAGACCTGGTTCTTTCAGTGGCCTGTCACCATTGCTTTCTCTTGTTTTTGGTCCTGTGGGTAGAAGCCCATCCCCCCAAACTAAAGCAAGAACCAAGAGTCTGGGGCATGCCCTTCCTGGGCCACTGCACGGTCTCAGCCGACCGGCCTTCCTCTTCTGTCCAGGTCCTCAGAAGCCTTGTGCTGCTCTACTCCTGGACGGCAGCAAAATACATTCTCAATGGACCACTGTCCAACAGGGGCCACTTCTGGAAGTGACTGGAGGTGCAGTCACTGCTTCAGGTCATCCCTGCAGTCACTACTGCACCATGGATGAAGTGATCTGACACACTCCTCTGTGGCTGGCCCTAAGCTTGATTTCAAGGCAGGTGGACCCATGCTCTCTCTTGCCATGTTCCCCAAAAGTCAGTGAAGAATGTGTATGAAAAGCAATGACCCAAGGAAGACTGAAATAGCCTCCTCTTATTTTCTTTCCCCCAGGAAAGTCATTTTTCCATTTTCCCTTTTGTCCCATCGTCCCAGTTATGGAACACCTACATAAACTTAGAGCAACAAATATGGACCTATTTTAATACATCTGTGTCACTGAAATATTTGCAGAACTGAAAACTTGGGACTGAAGTGGTTAATTTCTCAGAAATAATTGTAAGTGGCCCTGCACTCTCAACTTCTAGTCTCGGTTTCGCCAGCCCCTCGCTCACTCACTTAATTAAATGCAGCGGCCTCCCACGTGTGAACATTTCCCCATTACTACTTAAGACCATGAAAGCCCCTGGGTGGAATTTCAAATTCAGAGTTATCTTGTTTCTTTTGCTGTTTAATTATTTCTACTTCACACTGATCACTGATTATTTGAGCTCATTGGATAAGGAAAATTGACATAATTGATTGTAAATGCATCTCTTTTTAAAAAAAAAAAAATCTGGCACAGTAGATTTTCATATATTTCTGAAGGAAGAAAGATACAGACATAGTAACATTAAATCTTTATTCTCCACCTTTCTAAGTCCCTGTAAGAGCCTGGCATGTACAACGCACCTTGTTTAGGGACAGACACTTAGCAGCATGAACAGGTTACACCCTTGGTGTGACTGCAACTGGCATTTCAAGGAAGATTTAAAATGTTGACAAAACTCTTGGATATGAAATATTTTCAAGTGATGCTGCTTGTCCTAAAGAGAAATTGCTTACATCCTCAAAAAGTGAAAGAGGATGTGTACTGTTCCTTTGCCTTACTACTGAAATTGTTCACACACTTTATGAATGTATTCTGATCATTTTTCTTCCAAATTTTTCTGTTGTCTATTGATTGTATTTCAGCCATTGTGTGTTTAAGAATTGGATGTCATCTAAAAATGACAACTACATAAAATCACACATACAGCGTTGTTTGCTAATGTAGCCAAGTGTCATTTTTCATAATTCCGTTTTCATGCTTTCAGAAGTTTATTAATATACTTTTACATCCTTTGACTTTAATAATTCCCTCTATGATCATAATGTTTTCTGAAGATCTCTATGAAGTGTACTGTTTTACTCTAGTTATATGTAATATAACTGTACAATAGGCAAAGAAGGTCTTTAGTTAAGAGTGACAAACATTTGTGTATTGGGCATACAAATACAATAAAACATTAATCCAGACACTAATGATAAGGAATTATGATTTAAATGTAGATTAAATAGAAGCACGCTAACCTGCACACTTGCCCCTTGACCAGGAAAGCTCATAGTGTAAAGATGTCCGTTGGAAATGCTCAGCTGTTGAGGAAGTCCGTGTTGAAAAGTCATCCACTTACTTGCCAACAGCTGCTAATTGCAGACTAGTCACTATCTCGGGGGCTCAGCAGGCACCTTTTGGGATATAGCATAAATTAGTCTGAGACTGCACTAGAAACTTTAAAACCTTTGTTTTAGAAAGAATCTATAATTGGGCTCTTAATATTATATTTCATTTAATCTGAAATAACTTTTTCATCTAGTCCGTAATATCAACTTGCAACATAATTTTTGTTAATGGAATATCAGATCTTATTGAAAGTGTGCTGAGAGTTTCCTCTGGAAAGCATTTTAGAATTTAAACTTCTACCCTGACAGCCTCTGAGGAGTTTTTCTCCCCCAAAGGACCATTACCTGTAATATGCGGCAAAAATGTTTTCAAGATTACATCAGTGTATTCGAATCCTGAACTGGGAACCTTATGTGACCCCTCTCACTATCCCCCAAAAAGATGTTTTAGTATTCTTTAAATCCCAGTGGACTTGGGAAGTTGGTTCCTGGTGTTTATTCAGATTTTTAAAGTAGGTTGGAAGGAAGCAGGATGTGGTGTTAGGACTCTTGAGATTTTGTCAGAATAAGATAGAAAGCAGCTGCTGGGTCAGCAGTTCTGTTGTCCAGTTGTAGCCATGAGTTTATGCTGTCAGTTATCTTGGGTCAACTGCTGATGACCGAAGTAGCTGCTTTGTCATTGCTGGACTCCTTGAGGATTTTGTTCCGATGAGCTGCATGTGTGAGCTTGCCTCTCACCTCCTTGCAGATGGCTCGTGTGCCACATGGGTTGGGGGACTTTGATTCCTGTTCTTAAATACTAAAGTACATTTTGAGGTATCATCAGTGCTGTCTTGATGGTTTCCCCAGATGAAAAATACGTGGAAAAAAACACCATGCCTGTACTTTTTTTTTTCTTATTGTCATTCCTTAAACAAGGAGGATAACAAATATTTTCATGGCATTTACACTGTATTAGGTATTATAAATAACCTAGCAATAACAGTGTGTGGGAGCCCATGATGGGTACTGTGCCATTTTCTATGAGAGGCTTGAGCATTTGTGACTTTGGTTTCCTTGGGAAGGGGAGGGGATCCTGGAACCAGTCCCTCATGGATACCAAGGGATGACTGTGTATACCTGAAAGATGCCCTAAAAATTGTGACCGCTACACTACAGACAGCATGCACTTGATTGGAAGGGACCTTGCCTTGCTTTCTCCCCAAGATAAGATGGAAGAGTTCTCTGGCAAGCAGCCGTGGTCAGTGGGTGTCACTGGTGTCCTGGCGTGCTGCCCTTAAGGTTAGACTGTCGGAGGGCTGTTCTAAATGCCACTCCCCTTCTTGCACCCCCACCCCACTCTTAGGGACGTGTCCTCGGAGTCGGACAATAACATCAGGCAGATCAACCAGGAGGCCGCACACCGACGCTTCCGCTCTCGGAGGCACATCAGCGAGGATTTGGAGCCCGAGGCCTCGGAAGGCGGAGAGACCCCTGAGGTAGGAGGACCTGTCGTGATTCCTTCTCAGTGACTCTTGTCTAGGATGTAAAGATGATTCGCACAGCGAATGGGTTGCCATCTGGTGTTAATTAATTTAGCAAGTGCTTGTAAAAAGCCGTATTTGACAAGCACATGTGACTCTGTATCATCACAAAAGGGAATAACATTATTTCTAGTATGAAAATCTGAAGATACTTTCACTTGGTAATTTGTTTTTCCCCCAGAGTCTAACCATATCTTATTAAACGACATCAGGTTATCATGTTTGAACAGTTGAACAAGCCCTATTACTTGTTCACGACTCACAGTCAAGTTTTTACTGAGTTGTTTTGACATCTTGAAGGAAATTTATGACCAAAAAAAAAATACAAATTTGGGTCAATAGAAATGTTTATAATCTTCTCTTTTAATGGTGGTGGTGCGTCAAACAATAATCTTGACTTCCATGCTGTCTTAACAGCTCTGTTCCCTTGCTAGAAATATATTCTTTTTAGACATTGAGTTGGAAAGAAGACCATTCAAACTGTTGCAGTGATCACAATTAGAAAAGCAAATTAATGATTTTAAAATAAATCCACTAGAAGTTGCTTTATTCCAGTGTTTAATTACAGCTTGTAGGATCTGTGCTGTTTTCATTATGAATCCTCAGCAGTTAGAGTAAAAGAAACCCATGGAAATCATTGGTGCACTCCTGAGAAGATTGTTTTAGCCCAAGTACATTTAACAAATGCTGTCAAGAGGCTGCAGCTCAGAGCGCTGGCTCGTGCCCTAGAGGTGTGCAAGCACCGCCCCTGCACCAGGCATCCTGGTCACATCTTGGTGGCCATGCCTCTCACTAGCTCTTATACCTCAAGAGAGTTACTGTCCACGTCTCAGTTTGCTCATCTGTTAATTGGGACAGGAGTCATTTCTTTCTCATAATGATCGTGAAGTTTGTGTGCCTCGTGTTAAGTGTTGACTACATGTTAATTATAGCTATCCCCATGGTTATTGTATGTTTTCATTGAGGACAGGACAATCCCCAGTTCTTAGCATTTACCCCAGTGTCTCATTCCTTGAAAGCCTTGGGAGACCATTTCAGAAGAAGTGAATATGGCTGGAGACTCGCTTGGCCTGGCTCTGCCCCCACCGCCCTCCTCCCCAGTGTCTCGAACCAGCCCTCAGGAGCTGTCAGAGGAACTAAGCAGAAGGCTTCAGATCACTCCAGACTCCAATGGGGAACAGTTCAGTTCTCTGATTGTAAGTAGAGGTCTTGAGCAATATTCTTCATTGTTGCTTCAGGAGAATCTTGTATGTAAATGACACCCAAGGGTCTTCCAACTTCCAGTTATCTCTGACATTTTCCAAAGTTTCTTCTTCCCCAGAAGCAAGATTATACTAAAATTAGCCCAGGCAGGTGAGAATCTTTTTGATTTGGAGAACAGCTGTGTATCACCAACTCTTTTTCTTGATTTGTTTAAAAAAAAAAAAAAAATTCAAAGGTTAAGGTTCCATGAATTCTGTAATTACTAGCTATAACCTTGTAGAATTTCTTTCCCAGCCCAAAAAGCTCATAAAAATAGTGCCTTCGTCATCAAGGTGTTTCTTTACGGTGATGATTATTTGATGGTGAGGATAGAAAAAGGTTTTGGGCCTCCTGATCTGAACATCTGAAGCCATGCCTTAGAGGTTTATCATTCCCACTTCACAGATAAGGGCATTTGATTTAAGTGGCCCATCCCTGACAAGGTTTGAATGGGAATAGAAGACACCTCCTAAGTCCCAGAGCACGAGTCCTTAAGAAAGGGTGTGTAAGGTGACACTGGCATCAAGGTAGCCTTTGGGCTGAGGTTCTCAACCATCAGAGAAGTGCTTTCTAGAAGCTTCAGATAGGGCTGATCACCAGGGAAAAGCAAAGGAATCAGTCATGAAGAGCTTTGCATTTGACAAGACAAAACTGCAGAGAAAGCCTATAGATAATCCTAGCATGTGTGTCGAATTAAGATCAAACGCAAACCCAGTGGTTCTCAAGAAACTGAACTGGAAGATGCACTACAGGAATATGGCAGTCTCTCCACTGAAAATGACATCCTAGGAACAGTCACTATCATGAGCGTACTGAATATAAAGAGAGGACTCCATAAATACAAAAGCCTAGCAAGCATTCATAAGATTTTTCGCTCCTTTGGCAGGGTATTTTCATTTCAAAAGACATAGTGGGTCACTGTTAACATGAGTTGCGGGGATTACTTGTTAATATGGTTTCACATTTAAATTCTATGAATGTTTTTCAGAAAGAGGAATACCACTGAGATGAAAATTTAGTACTAAGTGAACAGGAAAAGAGGTTGTATATGTGGGATATTTGAATTGGTAAAGCTGTTGCTATGGAAACAAGCCATGAAGTCATGTACTTAATACCTATGAAAAAAGGAATTGCTGAAACCATAGCAATTGTATACCTTTAGTGAAACAAGTGAAAAAAAGTCAGTTTTACTCAACATTAATAATAAATTGGCATTTCTAGTTATTTGCATAGCGAGCTCTTGCATGTAATTGTTCTATAAGCAAAAATAAGCATGCACACATATCTTTCAGATCCAAGTGCAGTATTTTTGTGTTTTCAGATTATGGTAAGTGTTAGAATGTCTAGGGAACACTTCTCTGGTTTTGCCTCTCAGGGTCACTCTGTAGTCAAGAACAGTTGCATGAATATTTATTCAAGAGTGACTCCTTTATGGAATCAACCTAGATATCTGTCAACAGATGAATGGATTAAGAAATTGCAGTATATATACACAATGGCATTTTACTCAGCTATAAATGAAATTATGGCATTTGCTGGTGAATGGATGGAAATGGAGAACATGCTAAGTGAAGTAAGCCAGACTTACAAATTCACAGATCATATGTTTTTTCTCATATGTGGAAGCTAAAGTAAGATAAAGGAAAGAAAAGGGGGAGGATCGGATATTGTAAAGCTGTAGGGAAGATCAGTAGTGTAGAAGAAGGAAATTGAGAGGGCAAGAGGAGGATCAGGGAAGGGGAGGAAATGCAGAACAAATTCTTTAAAAATAATGTGCACATATAAAAGTGGAATTCCCTCTGATATATTTATAAGTAGAAAGAACTAAACAAAAATAAATAGATGAGCGAAAATAAGACCAGCAGAGGAAGGAGACATGGGGAATGGGGGGAACATGAACTAAAATTGAATTGCATGCATGTGTGATTTTTGTCAGGATGAACTCAACTACTTTCTATAACTATAATGCTCTAATAATAAATATTTTTTAAAAAGCAACTGCTCCACACGAGTCAGTGTGGGAAAGCTACATGGTAGTCCCTGTCACCACCACAAAATTTTTCTTGGACATTATCTTATTTTACTTGTCATTGTAAAATGTTAAAAATAAGTGCATGTTACAGACTTGTATGGTGGCTAAATCTGCCCCAAGAGAGACCCTTGTTTTCCATCTGTGATCTGCTCCCATCTCCATTCAGATCTGTCAGGCTTTGTTTAACCACATAGAATGGGAGGAACATTCTACATTGCACACTAGGTTGGTTTTAGACGAGCCCCACTGTTTTCCTTCCTTTCTGTTCTGTACGACTTGAACTCGGAAGCTAAAATGATAAGTACCTCATCCTTCAGGAGGAGGAGGATAAGGTGAATTCTGAGTTCCTGGGGACATAGAATCCAACAGATTCTTTGTCACCTGTGAGAGTCAGTAAATGTCAAAGAGCCTTATATCTCTGTTCCTTCCTTTTTCCTCTATGCCTGTGACATGAGAAGTCTCATAGAGCTGACATCCCATGCTAACTTCTTACTGCTGGTTACAGACTGGGAGTGTTGCAGGGGTCAGTTGAGCTTCCTTCCCGGTAGGTTTAGTCACCCTCTCTGGCTTTGGCTACTAATTCTAAGGACATTGAGAATCCCAGTCCACTGAAAACACGGAGATTTGAAACAGGCTGACTTCACTCCCTAAGGGATCACTCTGATGACTGCAGAGGGATGTTTCTTTTAATTAATGCATAGGGTTTGAGTGATAGAAATTTTAAGACCAGTGAAGCTCCTTTCTAGGGAATGCCTTTTGACACTCCCTGTCTTTCTCTCCCCTCCAGCAGAGAGAGCCTTCCTCAAGGCTGCGGTCCTGCAGTGTCACCGACGCGGTTGCAGAGCAGGCCCACCTACCACCGGTAACCCATGCTTATTTCCAGTCACCAGCTGGCTTTTGGGCTCTGATTTGAAATCTTGGCTCCTAAGAAAGAGTTTTTCCTGTGCAGATCCATTCACCATGTCAATGTGACACTTTGAAACTTGCCTCGCAAATTGCCCAAGGAGAGGGTGGGTCTCGAACACACAGACTTGGTATTGCCACCCAGGTCAACAAAATGCTTAAAACTTCGCTGCTTTGGTTTTCACCCCAGTTTACACCAATTCTGATGTGCTTCCTTGATGGAAAGTGCTTGGTACATTCATAATTCCTTCCACTTTGTGGAATGACTGTCACTGTCTCCAGCGAGCGGGACCCTGCAAACTCACCAACCCCTTAAAACAGGAAGAACTCTTCTGGGTAGTCACATACTCCTTTGCATCCCTGTGGCCTCAACTCTAAACTCCACAAAGACACCTGCTCTCTTTAAAGGCAGAGAATTGGCAATAGTTTGTACTCACTGCCCCACAGTTTAGTAACTATCAACAAACAGAAGTGGCAGAGGGTTAGCAACATCCAGGGTATGTAACGATTAAATATTCCAATTGGAAGACAGGTCAGCATTGCCTTGGGAAGTGTGGGGCACACACATTACAAATGAGAGATTTTATGCAAACTTCTTTCCTGTTTTGGAGGTGAAAATATTATGCAGTTTTACACTTTTGATTTGGCATTTTGACCTTGACTTTTTTTTATTGCCCCACATCTGATTATTTTCTGACATACTTCATTATGTATGAATTTGTGGCGGTGGGGGGAAGCACATTTAAAGTTTTTGAAATCGGTGTCTTCCCAACGTGTTCATTTTTACTTGGCTTCAAAGGATATTTTGGCCTAGGTTTTAGTTTTTTGTTTTAAAAAATTATGAATTAATGAGTATATTAGTCAAGATAATTGATTCAGTTGTGAGCTACATAGAGTTGACTGGTTTATAACAAGCTTGATGAGAGCATCTTTGCGGGAGGGGTTCGGTATGGGTCCCCAAAAGAGAACAATCAGCTGTGATGAAAGGGGTCCTCCTCAGCCTGATTATCCTGTGATTTTCCTTGATGAATTAATGGCACTTTCTCTCCTTTTCAAAATCAATGTCAATTTAATTTGCCAAAGAGCTCGCTTTCCTGGAGATTGGTGGTTCCTCCCGCTTGTGCTGTGAACTCACTGATCACCAGCGGCCTCCACCTGAGTGTTGAGTTTTTCAGATTTAGGAATCTGCTCAGTCCTGGACAGTGAGAGCAAAGCAGACTGGCTTCCATTTTTTCCTTTCTTAGCCATCTCATTTTGTTGAGGTTGGCGTTGTTCACCAGACCAGGGCTCCAGCCTGAGCCTCCCTGGGCAGCAAGGGGTGGGGGGTTCCTCTGGCTGCTGGTGGTCAGCGACTGCTCAGCTTCATTTGGCCTGAGCTGGTGTCAGGGATTCTGCTCTCTTGTCACCTGCCTTCCAACGCTGTCACAGCCATAATCCCCAGCTCACTATGCAATGGGTCATCCCCTGAGTGCACTTCACTGATGTCAATTATCATTTAACAGCCCAATACCCCAACTAGGAGAGCACGGTCGTCCACAGTCTCGGGTGGTGAGGAGCCAACGGTAATGACACATTTTATCAGACATTAATTGCAGAGGTCTGATGGGGCGGTTTCATATTTTGATTAATGTTGAATATGCTGTCACTTTTTAACAAATAAGATCAGCTCCATTGTGCTACAGAGATGCACATGTTTTTTTTTATTTTGAACTTCCCCTTTTTGGGGAAAGTGGAATGACTTTTGGCTCCATTAAATGTATTAGGAATACCATCGAGCTTTGGTTAAATGTGTTTAATTTGACTATTTCGAGTATAGTTTTGCCTTCTAGTGTTTGTACTCCTGATGAGCTTTTGCTTGTTGGAATGCTGGGTTAAAGTAATTTCATTGGAAGATAATCAGAGAAGCCATAGGAAATGCATGAGTTTGTACATGTGTGTCCTAATAGTGCACTGGGCTACATTCTCTGCATTTCCCATATCACATTTTTGTTTGTTTTTAACAGGGGGCCAGACTTTCTGTGCTTCCATCATGAGCTAGTGTCCTTTCTCTGCCCCAGACACTTGACTCACAGGAGAATGGACAGGTTCATATAATTCCCAGGGCAGTGAGCATTCCCATTTTATCCCGCCTATAAAGACTTAACTTGAGCAACAAATATACTGTTTATGGTAACTTGGAAATAATTACTATGTTCACAGAATGAAAAACTTGGGACTTAATGAGTTAAGATGTTTAAACGATCTAGAAAATTTGGTGCTACTTGAAGCCAATTACCTACTATTCTTCTTATTCGTTATTTTGAATATCTTATGCTATTCATGTTTGGGGGTAACTTTATTTTGGGTATTTTAATTGTCTCTGCTCTACTTGATCCTTAAAGTCAGATTAGCATTGAGTTTGTGCTTTGAGATGCAGTAGCTACTTGAAGAATTTGCCTTATTGTTTCACCTGTATTGTTTTTGCTGTAACTGCTCATTAGTGTTGAATAACTTTACGTATAAAATAGCTGATTTTCTGAAGGATGTTGATAATTTACAAAAGTGATTTAGGTATATTGTTAGATTCAAGTGCTCAACGTTGTACGAGAGAAAATCAAATTGACATTCAGTAACAGTCAGCATGATTGACAATATTGAGCTGCATTGGCTTCAATGAAAGTCATGCATTGGGTGATCCAGGCTTAGGTTCCAGGAGGCTTCAAAGAATTCTACAGGAGCTCGCTTAGTTCCACTGTAGGCTGGCATTGTCTGTGGGAGTAGTGGAGCTAGAGGTAAACAGATCATTCCATGAGATGATTTTAGTACCTCACTCTGCACATGGTCAGTGTGTCATCCATTTTTGCATTTTATTGGCCTTGCAACCTGTTTTTGTCTTGGCATGTTGTGCCAGCTGATGATCGTAAATGGCAGAATAAACTGGATTAGTGTAGTGCCAGGCTCCGTGATCCGAGTCCCCTGGCAGGACAAGGTGATCCATCTGAAAGATTCCATCCGACTCCAAAAACTTCCCTTTTCCTGACTTCTTGCCTGTGTTCTCCTTTTCCTCATCCATGAATTAAAATATGGGTTTGGGTTGGGTATTGATTTTTAGAAGACTTGAGCAAAATAATCCCTCCATGTGTCATTCATGCTGTGCTTTCTCCATACCTCGAGAAACTTGGAAGGAACCTTCCAGATCTAACCCCACCACTTCCCTTCCACCCCACCATCCTTTGTTCTGTCTGCCCTGGATGTCCTGTTCCCCAGTTGTCTCCTAACATGGTTTCTGCCTCATGAACCCCCTTTCCTGCCCCTCTGCACATTGTCCTACACTGAAGTGTGTGCCCAGGCTGGAGCTCCCCGGGGTGGGCTACCTTGCTCCTTCCTCTGGGCTTTCCCATGTACACACCCATGCTGTTTTCTTTTAGAAAAGTAAATTGTCATATACATAATGCTCAACAAATTGGTTCTTTTTTACTTACGGTCATCCTTCTGGGACATGTTAATAATCACTTAATATTCAGTGATGTGAGTGTAGCTCACTTTGTATAAATTTTCCACACTGAAGGGTATTTAGGCTCATATACCTGATTCTCACCTAAGCAACCATAGCCCTTTGATGTGTGGCAAGTAAATGCACACTGGTGTCACTTTCTGGCTGGCTAAGCCAGAGCCCTCCCTTTGAGATACCAGGAGAGGAACAACACAGTCCTTTGATCTTTACTGTGCAGATTCTAAAATTACACTAACATACTGCTCTGGCAGGATTCAAGCCAGTCTTGGAGAATCTGTGGTGGTCAGTATCAAAGTGGTTATTTACAAAACCATATTGATACTTGTTCAGTTTAAAACATGATCGAGTTCATCATTTTAATGAAAGAAACAGAGCTGTTGTAAAGCAGGAGTTGGTGGATGTTTGGCATCATACAACACAGAGATAAATCCAGTCTACAAGTAAAAAGCTGTGAGATGGTAAATATACTAAGCCATAGGTTGGGGGGGGGGGGGTTGTTGTTTTTGTATTTTTGATAACCCACCTCGTTTCCCGAGGTGGTCTGGAGCATGCTGTATGCACACAGCAGTAGTAGAAGTCTGGATGGCCCCAAGGCTGGGGCTGTTCCCAGGATGTACTAGCCATGTGCATCCAGGCAGTGTTTTGAGTCACAAATGGACTCCTCAGCACAGACTGTTCTACATGCTCATTTGGAGAGGACACAGTAAAGAAACATTTTAATAACACCCTCTCACATAAATGCCACTAAATTGCAGATCACCAGTTCAATTCTCAATAGAAGGTACAATGGACATTTTAATCAAATTCAGTGTTCTCTCTCGACTACTCTGCAGTTTTCCATAAACTGGTTAGTACTGTTAATTGCACTATTGGTGAAAATGACCTAGTCCCTGGAAATTCGAACAGCTTAGACTTCAGTTCTGAGATTACCCACAGCACAGCCAAGTTTTTGCAACTTATCAGTCACCCCATAAGTATGGTTTCCAGGGACACTCAATTGTTCTAGTAGTCTGAAGATTTTCTGGAACTGAGTTTTCTGAGAGCAGAATTGCCTCCCCCCCAAAAAGTAACACAGCAGGTAATCCTGGTGACTCAAGAGGCTGAGGCAGGGAGGATCCCAGTTTTGAGGCCAGCCTCAGCAAGTTAGTGAGGCCCTAAGCAACTTAGACCCAGTCTCAAAAGTTTTAGAAAATAAAATAAAAAGGACTAGGGTGGAGCTCAGTGGTAAGCCCCCTGGGTTCACCCTAGTACTAAAAAAAGGACAAAAAAACAGACTCCACTTAGTATTTCATTTAGTCAGAGGCATTTTGAATATATAAATCATTGTAAGTCAGAATATGGTAGCATGCACTTTGCCAAAAATACTGATTGGCTGCTAAGAGTAGGTTTTTATCATTGCCTCAAATAAAGGTAGCCTAGAATTAGTGCTTTGTGTTAGTGTCCAGCTGGAGAAGGAAGAACAGGCAGCTCTGCTCAGGCTGTGGGTTAATCTGTCTAGTCATGAGAGGACTGAAGTCTGCAAGTTGAGGTTTCTTCTGCTCCTGTCGAATCTCTCCCCACCTGGATCCAGGTGGTCATCTTGGAATTATTTTATGACACCTTTAGGATTTACCAAAAAAAAAAAAAGTCAAGGAAATGGTCGCTGCATTTTTAGCAGGATAATAATCTTGCCTTGCTGGGTCAGCAGTAACTACTGAGTCTGTTGCTTCCCAGTTAATTGTGCAGTTGCTTTTTCTCCAGAGTGTGCTGTTAAGCTTATGAAGTGGCCTCCAGAGCCTCTTTGGATGCAGCCCTGAGTACCTGCAGGGGACTTGCTTGTGCTTTTCTGGGGTCCACTGAGTGGCCCTGTGACTATGACCTTCTTTGACTACTCAGGTTGTTAGTAGTGAACAGAAATGGTGGTATAAAGACAGGAAGGTGTAGGGTCAACAGATCTACATCCTCAACCTCATTAAAAAAAGAGTAAACCTGGTGAGACGCCTGGAAGCTCAGAGAAGCTACCCTAACTAGGAAAGGTAACACCCAGGGCGGCAGCAGCCTCACAGAACAGGTCACTCCTAGTTGTTGGACCTGGTTCCTTCTCCCAGGAGCCTGGGGGCCCTGGCTGCCCTCCTGTTTCTGAGCACTTGTCTATAGGTGCCAGTCTAGGATGTGCCCTTCCCAGGACAGCTCTCACCCCACACATCCAATGACCTCATGAGTCCCTGACCCATCCTTGCTCCTCTGGTGTTCCTGCATCCAGACTTCCTTTCTTGGACTGCTTCTTAGAAACAAAAGTCTCTTTCTGCAATCTAGCTTGGGTTAGCCAAATGTAGTCAGTCTATCTGGAGACTGCCCATTGTTCATTGGCCAGTTAAAGGGACACACTCCTTATCGGTGTACTGAGTAGGAGTGGCCTCAGTTTATGAGGCTCCTTGGGATTCTTCTGTCTGGTGACAGAGAACCTCCCCAGCTGAGTCATGCAGGTGTACCTGTGCTCCTTAGATGCCACCATGGGAGTCTGTATTGGATTTTTATTCTGCCCCAGATGCTATCATGTACAGGGCCTCAGTAGCTGGAAGAACCCAGGACTGCACTAGAGGAGCACCCCTGTGCCACTTGTGTGGAACAGGAGTGTCCAGGAGTGTTGAGTAGCTTGAATGCCTTTCAGCTGTACATGGTTTGACAGACAGTGAAGTTTAGTAACTAGAACAGATTATAGTGTCTTTCTCTTTCCTAAAAACAGTCACCTTAGCAACAGGTGAGACCTCAGGGTCAGAAAGTTGAGTCTGTGAGAATGTGGAGCCCCTTCACCCAGCTGTGTGGGGTTCCTCTCACAGTGGATTTGAAGCTCTTAAAAAGCTATCATTGTCTTTCAGATACTCTTTGGAATGTTTTCTGTGCAAATAAAATTAACTTGTCCAGAAAGTAGAATCATCTGGTTATGTGTTACTTTATTAAAACTGAGCAGAATACAAATGCTAGTTGTTAAATAATAACGATTTCTTGCACAAACAGCCATCAGTGGCCTATGTACATACCACGCCGGGCCTACCTTCAGGCTGGGAAGAAAGAAAAGATGCTAAGGGACGCACATACTATGTCAATCATAACAATCGAACCACAACTTGGACGCGACCAATCATGCAGGTATGAAGATCGCCATCCAACCTAAACGCAGGCCCAGGCCGTAACAAACAGGACACACATCACCCACGTCCTCTCCCAGTGTTTATGTATTGCTCTGAAGACGTTGTTTACAAAAAAAAAGGTCTCAGAAAAGACATGCATTACTTTAATTACTTTGGTATAGCATTTGCCTAAGGAAGACTTTGGTCCTCAAATTACTCTGTCCTTGGATATATTTTTTAAATGTAACATGAAAGGTATTTTCAAAATCAGCCTGATGCATCCCTACCCTGCGCCCCCTTCTTCTGAGGCTAGTTTTTATGGGGGCCAGTGATTCATTTTTATTCCCCTTGAATGTGTTTCCCCATCATTTCCCCCATTATTATGTTTAATTATTTCCTCATGCTTGAACTAGGCCAACCCTCTTATTATTGCTGTGTGGTGTTGTTTGGGTTCACGCTTCTAGTCACACGCAGGGAGATCCTCATATGAAGCTAACTTGTTTTTGCCTCCAAAATAGCTTGCAGAAGATGGTGCCTCCGGATCAGCCACAAACAGTAACAACCACCTAATCGAGCCTCAGATCCGCCGGCCTCGTAGCCTCAGTTCGCCAACTGTAACTTTATCTGCCCCACTGGAGGTGAGAAGGCTCCCTCGTCTAACTGGGGTCACCTCTGTCCTGTGGCTTCTCCTCATCTCTCTTCTCTCTCAACGCGGACTTCAGTTTTGCAGCCTCCTCCTGATGAGTCGTGTGTCCCGGGGATGTCCTTGTGTAGCCTCCCCACATGCTTCTCCGTCTCACCCAGTTAACATCCAGGCCTTGCACGGTCCTCATCCTCATCTGGCTGACGCCGTGCGTGGTAACTTGTGCTGGATGTGGCCCCTCTTCTCAGAACTTCTTTCATTCTTGTTGTGTTTTGCTCCTTATTGCCTGTTACCGCATTAGAACTGCATAATAACTCTCTCAAGTACCAGTGCTTATATTGAGTTTCGAAACATAGCTCTTGCTTTGATCATTTTTTCCTTTGACTGTAGGGTCTCTCATGGGATGGGCATTCGTGTCTCTGATGCACATCTGCCCTCTGAGTCATTGCTGGACATCTGCTTTGCGCTCTCCTGTTTGTGTTGTTTAGTGCCATCCCTGGATGTCACAAATGTCAGAGTTAGAAAAGCCAGAGAGGAAACATTTGAGGTTCTAAACTTGACCGTGGGTTGGTTTCTTCTTTCTCTGGGTCGGGCTGCTGCTAGGTGGGAAAGGGTGACAGCTCTTCCGGGCTCTGACGTAAACATGGCTAACAACTAACTCTGTCATTCCAGGCGATTGTCTCCGTTGGTGGAGGTTTTTTCTTCTGTGCTTTAAAATCTGCCAATCTGTTCTTTGGTTAGACTGTGAGCTCGTTGAGAGCAGGGGCATATTTTTCTCCATTCTCTGTAAATTCTCCATCCATAAGGCTTAATATAAAAGAGTATTTTTGATACTTACCAAGTGATTGCTGAAGAATGATGGTTATGAGTATTTAATATTGTTGTGTGTTTAACCAACAATTTAAAAAAAGTGTAAAGAAAAACAAAGTATAAAGTTAGGTGGATGTAAAAGTAAGTAAATGAAGAAACAGGGTTTCCAGGAGCTTCCCCCTTGTCCGTGTCCAAGGAGGAGCATTCTGCAAGCCCTGGGTGCATTTGACGCACTGACGCACTGGAATGGCGCACGGTCAAGAGTTCTAATGCTCATTATTATTCCTTAGGGTGCCAAGGATTCGCCCATACGCCGGGCTGTGAAAGATACCCTTTCCAATCCACAGTCCCCACAGCCATCACCTTACAACTCCCCCAAACCACAACACAAAGTCACACAGAGCTTCCTGCCACCGGGCTGGGAAATGAGGATAGCTCCCAACGGCCGGCCCTTCTTCATTGACCATAACACAAAGACTACGACATGGGTAAGGCTCTGCTTTTCTTGGGCTCCGTGTTCATCGTGAGGTCTGGCATTGATTCTCTGCTCAGCACTCGAAGCTCTTGGGAGTTTGCCAGACTCCAAAGCATGTCTCCCGAGGGTCTTCTGGCCCGCGTCTGTGCTGCAGGTCTGGACTGGCGGGCAGAGAGGGTCTGAGCACAGATGCCAGCTGCAGGGTATTGCTGTCGGGTTGGCCTGCCTGTCCTCACAGCACACTGGGGACATGGCCAGTATAGTTAGAGATGTGGCCACATTTGGAATAAATGTGTTCCATATTGCTAGGGTTTTTTTCTGTTTTGTTTTGGTACTTCATCACACCTCCTACAAATTATTTAAAAATACTTTTTCTTTGTCAGATTTCTTTTGAAACTTTATTGACATTACCCCACCTTTCCTGTCCTATGGCTTTAGTTTTTAGTGTTTATGTCACATCAGTATTTTGCATCTCATGCATTGAATGACTTGGTTGTAAATCTGATCACTCTCTTCAGTAAACGTTTTGTCATAATCGATTTTTCTTACCATGTTGTTATCTCATTGTGCTCCTGGATCATTTGTGAGAAAGAACTTGAGTGACGTAGTATGCAAATGTGAATGTGCACCTCTTCATATTCCTCTCTCACTTCATTTCTTTTGCCGAATCCGTGGTGGCTTTTTCAAGGCAGGCTGTGGTGGTTCTTAGAAGTGGCTGGTGTTTTTCTACTATATAATCTATAGACCTCTAAGTCAACTGAAATGTGTTCTTTCATCTCTGGGTTTTGATGCTGCAGGAGGTGCGTATTGCCTCCTGCCCCCTGCCCCCTGTCCCTGGTCGTCTGAGTAGAGTCCCTTCCCAGACTCCCTTGGTCCTTGCATCGTTTGTGCTGCTTGCTTAGGACTGATGTTTTGTGAAAGCTGGTTGAGTTTGGAGATTGTCTCTGGTTCCAGCTCTTCAGCCTTGGATCTGCTTTGGATTCCTTTCCCAAGTGGTCCACACCAATATGTCCAGTTGGGAGAGCAGGAGTATAACGTTAAGGAAAAGGCGTCGACCAAGGTGACCTGGACTGTCATTTGTACTTGGTGTGTGGTGTGATGTTAATCCAGTCCTTAAGGACTGGTCTTGAGGGCGCTCCCTACAGTCATGCAGAGTGGTGCAGTATGTCCCTGTGAGGGCATTCTTGGCACCGAGGCAGGCCTGGGCCTTCTGCTGTGAGATGTCTAACATCCTTGGCTCCTGACACTGAGAGCTAATAGCTGCCATCACCCACCCCCGAAATACTGATAACTAAAAATGCCCCACACATTTCCAAACAGTCTTCAGTGAGAGCCGCTCTTACAGCTCTTGCTATTTTGCAGTAAGGGAATTTACTCACCTGCCAAGAGCACTTATCATTGAGATCTGATGACATTCATTTGGTAAACTGATAACTGCGTCTAAGGCATATAATGACACAGAGTTTTGTTTGACTCACCTTTTAGTCTAAAGATAGTATTACAGGTTTGTGGGCCAGATGAGAATAAGAGACAGGCAGCTCTTTGGAAAACAGACTAGTGAAGATTGGATTTGGGTCTTTTTTGTCATTGACACAGAACCCTGGCTATCTGCTGGTGTTCCCATTTCCTATAGTGCTTCTATAATTTCAAATCCGTGGCCAGAAATTGGAGCTCCAGAATCGGGGGGGTAAATATTATAAAAGCAGATGGATCCGTGTATGGAGCCACTGTGACTTGCCAACATAAGCTATGATTTTAGTAATTTGAACTAGCTTAGTAATCAAATCCCCTAACCTTTTCACAGCCTTTCACGCCACAACTGCAGTGTAATTGCAGCCGGGCAGATTTTATTTTAAATGGTACTATCCTTATTTATTGCTGCCACCATTGCTGAATGAAGCCCAGTTTTAATTTCCAGTTGCCCCTTTTTACCCAGACAACTGTTATTGACAAATTTACTCATTTAAAATTTTAATTTGATAGAACAACATTTTGTCACAAATGCTGCTGTTAAAAATCCTTAAGGGGACAACTGGACATCCCCCAAGTTGCCACCTTCTTCCCTAAACCCAGGTGTGCTGACCCGGCTGCATTATCTCTAAACAAAGAACAGCCAGAGAGTCTCAGTATAGAAGATGCACTCGGAGTGCCATGTCTATTTTAACAAATTACAGAGGGGCAGGGAACAGTAAAGATGATTTTCTGACTTAAAATTTGGTTTGTTTACTTTCTGAAAGAATAAATAGGAGGACAGTGCAGCCCTCCTTTGATTTGACCATTAGGATAGGAAAAGGAAAAAAATCTGGTAGGACAGTTGATAATAATGAAATAGTACCCCTCCCCCCTTTAGCCCGGGAACTTCCGATTCTGGTGCTAACCAGAAGCAGCAGAAGATCCAGGCCCGTGCTTCCCCGGGTGCACCTTGGGTGTTTTATGACAGCCATTCCTAGACACGAATGATGAAGGTAGCCTGCTGACAGTCCATTTGGAGTATGCGTAACTATTTTAAAAGGAAACAGAAAATACAGGAAAGAATAGCCTTGTCTCCACCTGGGTCAGGTAGCAAGGAGTGCGTGCTAAAGGCTGTTAAGTGGCGGTTGGCAGCCCAGGAGGCCTCACCTGGTGTTTTCTGCTAAGGGAACAGCTCAAAGAGTGTCTGAGTACAAAAGGATGTCCATGCCTCTCACGGCACAAAGCACCGGCTTGTTTTTGTAACAAGAAAGATTACACCTTAGTTAAGTTTCAGCTTTGTTTTCTTTCCAAGTTCAAACAAATAAAATTGATTGTAGCCTAGGCATGGTCTCTTCCAGGAAGGAAAGAAGGAAAAACACAGCTGTTTTTTTGAACTAACCAGGACTCCCATCTCTTATATTTTTAAGACTTAGGGAAACCCTGATTTAAGAGAAGATGCTGAACCTTTGCATTCCATTTAAAAACACTTTCAATTGAATTGAAGAAGCAATTCAAGCATGAAAGAGATCCCTGACTACCAAGGAGAGGGATGAACAGCCCATGTGTCTGCATATTTGATTCATTTGTATTCTTATCATTCAAGACCTCATTAGCCTTCCACCTTCCCATCATCCCTGAAGCTGTCCCTACTGACCCTAGGCCTCAGTGGGAGAACAGCTTTGTGATGATCTCCAGACATCCTCAGAATTTGATCACTGGCAGCTACTACCATTATTTTGATTATTGGGGAAATAATATGACCCCTCTGGCCCTCACATCCCAAGAAGTCTGGGTTTCCATGTGAGGTCAGTTTAGCAGACTGTGAAGCTAAACTTATATTATACTTCTTGCTCCACTCCAGTCCCCACACCAACTGGAATTTGCTTTAATCTCAGCTTCTTTCTCCCTTTCTCTAAACTACCAGCCAGTTGTCTTGCACACTTGACTTCATGTGATTGGAAGGTGTGACTGGCCTTGGTACAGCATGCAGAAGCCCGACCTCCTGTGTGTAAGAGTCTGGCTCTACACCTGGCATGGTCATTGGCTACATGGGCACCCAAGAGTCCTTGGAAGCTGTGACTTTATCCAGTTGGGCAGCTTTGGAGTCCTATGCTTTAAGTTTTTCCTCTGTCTGCAATTAACCAGTCACATAATTTTACCAGATTACCAGCTTCTTGGACCTTCTAAATCCCAAATATGTTTAGTATATATGTTTATTCTGCCTGCATTCCAGTATGCTGTAGAATACTGGATTTTGTGTCATTTCTTAGTCTTTAAATATATATGATTCGGGGTCAGCATTCATTACAAATGAAATAAATCATTAAAAGATTGGTTCCTCAATTAGAAGTTTGCTATAGTTGACAGAAAGCAATGGTTCGTTTTATTTTCTGTGAACTCTTGATTCTTACCAGTTCCCAAATCTGTCATTTGGTTACAATCCTGGGATAATATAACTTATTGTTGGCTCAGAAAACTGTTGAAGCAGAAAACCTTTTTAATAATTTGACAGCAGCAAATGCTTTGATAAAATTGAATGAATCTAATGTCAAATGTCTCAGAAATTTGATTTTTAATCCTGAGCTGATAATGTGTTATTCTGATTGACACTGCATTATTTTGGGTTTTAGCATTCGTTTTCGAATCGTCCGAGTTTAAAGACATGGATCCTCAACTGAGCGTGGTGGCGCATTAGTTAATCCCAGTGATTTAGGAGGCTGAGGAGGGAAGATCCCAAGTTTAAGGTTATCTCCAGCAACCTAGCAAGACCCTGTCTCAAAATACAAATGGCTGGGAATGAAACTCAGTTATAAAGAGCCCCTGGGTTCAATCCCCAGTACCACCCTCCCCACCAAAAAAGACATGGATTCTCTGAGTTACATCACATTTTAAGTGGTCTATGCATGTATCGTCTTTTGATCAGGCAGTCCCCAGACTGTTTTTTTGAACTAACCAGGACTCTGATCTCTTATATTTTTAAGACTTAGGGAAACCCTGATTTAAGAGAAGATGCTGAACCTTTGCATTCCATTTAAAAACACTTTCAATTGTATTGAAGAAGCAATTCACGCATGAATTTGTGCAAGTCAGTGTTCTAACACTCAGTTTCCTCACTTCAAGAAATAGACCCTGCACCAGCCTCCTAACCAGGGGTGCTACAACATGGTGCATCTCGCTATTCTTTGTAGATCATGGCTCAAGTTTTAGAGTCTACGTTTCTTTTCTGTGGTATCTCATGAAACATATCCCTTAAGAAAAATCTCTTGTAAGCTTTTATACTAAAGCATGAATGAGAATCCAATCAGGAGAACTCAGTTGGGAATCTGGGTAAAGTTCCAAAGCGAGGGTCCTATGATTTCACCGGATGAAACGGACTGTCTCTGGAATAGCCACAGGACTTCCCATCAGACCAGATTCGGAATCTATGTAGCTCAGGAAGGAGTGGAGGGTGCCAGGCCCACAGGACTGCTGTTCCTCCCACATCAGGGTCCACAGGGACATCCACAGCCCTTGTCCTGCCCCCTCTCTGAAGTGGCGCCATGTCACCAATGGCTCCCTCCACTCTGATTTCCAAGGTAAATCACTGCTGCAAGCCTTACCCCTCAGCTTCTCAAAGTCTTGGGATATAGTTAACCTTTTATTTAAATGTTCTTACTCTCCTTTCACCAAGCACAAGGAGGAATAGTAGAATCTCATTTGGGAGCTGGTCAGCCAGGCTTCCTGTGCAGAGCAGAGAGCTGGGATCCTTCCGTGGCCCACGCACAGGCAACCTGGTCGATTTGGAATGCCCAATTCAAGAAAAGGAGAGCTGGTAACTACACCAGGGAGTCCCTCTTAACACGGCCCACCCTTTACATTTTTCCTGCAGGAAGATCCACGCCTGAAGTTTCCAGTACACATGCGGTCAAAGGCATCGTTAAACCCCAATGACCTCGGCCCTCTTCCTGTAAGTACATTGGAGGCTCATGGAACAGTCTGAGACTGTTCTTCATTTATCCATCCAGTGTGGAGGAAGAAAGGTCCTGAGAGCATCTCCTTCTCCATACACCCTGGGTCCCATCAGCCTGCATGTCTGAATAGGATTGGGTGTTTGGTGGGTTTCTATTAGTGCATTCCAGGTATGTGTTCAGTAGTTGGGAAAGAAGTTTCTGAATTGCCAGCCACTAGTGGCAGATAGACTGTAAACTAAAGTATGCAAGAAGCATTCAGTACAGGTGACAGTTTAGGCAGCTTGCATTTATTTTACAACGTAGCAGCCTGTGAGTTCCACCCATATTTCTATTTTAGCTAATGGGGAATAAAATGAAAATGGTGTGAGAGAAAAAGGCATAAACCATCTCAGGAAGTTTGTATGTGTCATTTAACCTACAGATATTTCAAGTTTTTTTCTTCCTTGTTGGTGACTGTTCACACGTCTAATTTTTTAAGTTCTCTTTGAGGGAGTGGAGCCCTTTGGTCCAGAGGGGAATCCGAGTGAATCTTTCCCATGCATCCTCCTCAGCAACCTGCCCTGACAAAGCTTGGAGTGGGGGCAGGCTCGAAGGCTAAGACTGCTTTCTTTTAAAGGGGATTTTTCTTAACTATTGTTTTCCAAGCATTAAGAAACTTCCCGCTACCTGATGGAGCAAAGTTTGAAGCTACAAAAGTTGGCATTCAGTCTGTTTTCAGTACAATCAATATCCCTCCCTGTTCACGTCTACTTAGTTCCTGGGTTCAGAGACAAAGAGGCTGGAAAATGTTTGGAAGGTACATTGTCAGAATCTGTTGGATTCCAGAGTTTCAGATAGGAAATCAGGACAGATGGAAGGATGAGCACTTACCAGCCTCATCTTAAACAGTATCCAAATCGTTTAGCTCCTGAGTTTGAATAAGGAGAGTTCACAGCCGAGGACACAACCTCTTAATAACATGAATGAAGTCACCGTGTCTAATGTGTTTATATTAGCCCTCCCCTTCCCTCCCTGTACTACTCAGTATTTATTTAACCAAATGAGCTCTTCCAGCCCAACTCTCCCATGGCATGCTGATGCTTCCCCTTAGAGCTTTCAAGATTCCCGCCCCCCACCCACCCCCCAACCAAGGAATCTGAGATGGTTGAACATGTGCATATTGCTAGAGGTCAGGAGTTTACCTGAAATGCTTATATTTTATTTATTCTCGGTGTAAAGATGTATCCAAGAAGAGAAGGGTAAGAAAGGGTTCTATGGTTTTCCAATGTTGCCTCTGAATTTGGAGTCGCTGATTGACATTTGTATTCTCTCCCTGCCCCCCGCCCTTCCCTGGATGCTAGCCTGGTTGGGAAGAAAGAATTCACCTGGATGGACGGACATTTTACATTGATCATAGTAAGTCAGGGCTACCCTGGGCGCACAGGTGTTGCTGGGGAAGGGGAGTGGGGAGGGTAATTCAAATGTGATAGTGAAAGCTTTGTCGTTTTGCTTTGTCCAGACAGCCAGGTGTTATGTGGAGAGAATGACCCCCGAGACTCAGTGCCCTCGTACGGTACTGTGCCTTCACCCCAAGTTTGCTTTAAAGTAGCTCCTCAAGCTTTCACCCAATTTGATCTTGCCCCCATTAACTTTTTTTTTAATTAAAAAATTTTCTTTTTGGTTGATGATCCCTTGACATTTGCGCTTTATTTAATATATACACTCTGGAAATAGAAAATAAGATTAGAAGCTGATTTAGTCAAAACAAAAGTGTGTATGAACAGTGCTTTAAGCTACATCTAAGTTCTCTAAACCCTGCCTTCAGAGGCCCATGGCAAGATGCCTTTTCTGACCTTATTTTCTATTCGCGGCATGTTTCCCCCGCTCCCACCACACTAATACATGTGCAGCTGTTTTCCCGAAATCGTAGATTTGCTGAAGACACTTGCTTCAGCACTTATGGATAAGTGTGTGGTTTCTCATTTCAACTAAAAGTTACACTAATAAATGTTTGCTTTTAGCCAGTGGGGTATTTATTTATTTTATTTTGAGGTGACATGTTTTTCTTGGGATCATACTGATATAGCCCTTATACTTTCTGAAAAAAAGTTATTTTAAAAAAGAAGACTTCAAATAGATCTCAAGTTCAAGTCATGTATGCAATTTAGGAGTATGTGAGGGTTCTCTTTTCATGTAACTCGTAAACAGGAAGTCTGCCAGTTTTTCTTTTTCTTTTAGTTGTAAATAGACAAAATACTTTATTAATTTTCTGTGTGTGGTTGCTAAGGATCAAACCCAGTGCCTCACATGTGCTAGGCAAGCGCTCTACCACTGAGCTACAACCCCAGCCACTGTGCCAGGTTTTCATCAGAAAGCAAAGGTGCATGGTTGAGCTACTTGCTGAGAAGTGTGGTCATGAGGAATCCTCATACATGTAGGACCTGTTACACTCTGACCAGCCTGGTAGCTCTCGCAGATGTTACTAGGAGACTGAGTGCATTACATGCAGAACTTTGTTTTCAGGGACGAGGGTTTGAGGGGTTAGAAATTGAATTAAGAAAGGGCCCCTCGATTTAGAATTAAACCAAAAGTAGTCTTACCTGTATTTAGAGGGGTAAGCTACCCTTGGGTTTAAATAATTTCAGCACACACATAGGTTAGTTCTTTCAGTCTTTGATCAGGAAAAACATACTGAATTACATACTTTGCTGATTTTCACAGGGATCATAAATTTACTACAAGAAATGTTTTAAAATGTATGTGCATACCCCAATTTTCCACTCAACACAACATTTATTTATAATTCTAAGAATTCGCTAAAGCAGGGAAGAAGTCGCATCTCTCTTCCTATTAAAAACAAAAAGCAGTTACCTTCTAAGTGTTTTATGCATTATAATTTCAATTTTCAAAGAAATATTGACCATTTTATTAAAACTAGGTCTTCAGTGGTAACAGCCTTGCTCTGTGACCCACAGAGAGCATTTCACACATTAAGGCATGTCCTGGCTTAGGTGACCTGGAAAGAGCTTAAGAGAATGTTCCTAAGCACCCCCAGGAGTTGGAAGCAGGAATAGCACTACCACAAAGGGCCATGCTCATGTACCTTAGAACCAAAACCTCAGCCTATTTTCCCAAGGGCACACTTAGGCCTTGTATATTCAGGTGCTTAATCAGTGGTGACTTGAAGTCAGGTTTGTGGAAGGTCAGAGGTGAAGGTCTCAGGAAGTTGCCATCCATGGGCATGCGTGTGGCTGGCCGCACCTGCCTGGCTGCTCCTTACTGATGACCTGTCTGCTACTTGCTCCAGTGCTCCTCTCAGGCGCTCCTTGTCACTCCAAGGGAGGCTCCACTTCACTTCTGGGAATTGAGTGATGTGGTTAAGACCCTGCTCAGAGCCTGGTGGATCTGAGCTGTCCTAACATACTTGTGTTCAGGGGCTTGGATATTAAAATGTATTTTGCCTCTGCACAATATACTAAAAGTTGCTCTTAGAGCTAAACTTAGGTGACCAAAAACCATTTAAGAAAAAGATGTGTTTAAAAGAATCCTGTTAACTTTTCATGCCACATTTCTGACAATGCTCCATAATTTGCTAAGATTCACTTAATGGAACATGATTCAAGGGAGGGACATGACGTTAAAACAGTTCAGTGTCATTTGCTTTTCTACCAAAATCTAGCCTGTGAGAATACAGAACCCCTACTTTTTTCAGAGGCCTTATCCAGTTGATAGGAATTCTCCAAGCTGGGTTTAGTTAACATTTAGGAATTTCTTTACCCTCATAATGAAGCCTCTCTTTCCAGTTTTCTAACAAAATTTGGTTAATGTTATAATGCCTGCAGGACAGAAATAAGGTCCTTACATATGTTGTTTTACAGTGAAAGCAGTCTTTCAGAAGTTGTTCAGAGACATCCTGTCTTCCTGCAGAGCTGGATTGAGTAGAACATGAATGCACTTGTCCTTTAAATAATTAGGTCATTTAATTTTTTTCCTGCTTTATAAATTTTTCTTGAGAACTTAGACATTTTCCAGATTCACAATATTCAACAAAGGACTAAATTTCAGAAGCAATGAATGCTCAGTACTGGTCTTCAGTTTAGACCCCTTGGTTCATTTGATTGATATCTTATCAAATAGTTCCTAACATCTGGAATGGAACCTCTAGCCCTCTTGGGAGGCATATTATTCTCAGGACCAGAATAATTGGCCAAGGTATCTTAAATACAAAAGTTAGAAAAGAAAATTCCAGTGATTCCTGTTTTGTTCTCACTTGCCAATAGTCTTACCAAACCAGTTAGTAGTAGCTAAATTGGCTGAGTTTTTCATCGTTCTGTTTCCTTTCTATCCTTTTATTTGAAATTTAATGTCTCAAAGGTAAAAGGCAAGTTTAGACTCAAAAGTTCTTTTAAACAAAAGCTTGGAGAACTGAACCCTTTGTTCGTATATTGACCACACTTAGCCACAAATTGATATTTATCATAACCACATGGGAACTTGGTTTGTTTTCACCACCAGCTTCGTTCAGTCATTACAGAGATCACACATGAATCCCCTTTTACATGCTAGACCTCTGTTCAGTGGTGGAGAGGGGGCCTCACAGATGAATAACCCAGCCCCTGCCCTCCAGGGGTGCATGTCCAGGGCATGTCTTAGGTGTACTGGTGAGGGTCTAGAGCAGTTGCTGTTTGAGTGCAGGTGGAGAGAGCTGGAGAGGGCCAGAGGGAATGGTTCCCTTTCAGACTGCTTCCTCCCATGGCATGGGACTGAGCCTGGCATGGGGAAGAGCAGCATTCTAGGGGTTTGGCTATGGGCAGGTGTGCTGTGTTCAGAGAAGTGCAGCTTCTCCCACCTGCTGTGCACAGAGGAGACCCATGTGACACCCAGCTCAAGTCAACAAGTGTCTGCCAGGTGTGGGAACTCAGGTTCATTCTGCAGGTGGTGGGGAGCTCCAGAGGGCTTTTCCAGAGGTTAGCGACAGTGGTCAGATATGTTCTTTGGAAAGCTCTTTTGGCAGAGCAGTAGACGAAGACTTGAACGGGGAAAGTAAGACCATGCTCAGGGGAACCAAGAGAATAGAAGCGTCAAAAAAAAAAGGGAACACCCCAGCAAGAATCCTTAAAGAGACAGTTCCGTTACCACCAGGAGGTAGGGGTGGGGACGTGGCCAGGTTCCTGGTGTGAACCACAGGCGGACTGCAAACCTGCTCTTGGGGAGCTTAGGCTTATGTGGCAGTTTTGAGGAGTGCTGATCTGTTCTTTTTGGGCAGAGGCGAGCAGAGGCCTCCTGGGGAGGCTGGGTGTAATGCTGAGGATGGAGCTTGCTGCTCAGGTATGGCAGACGGTTCTGGTAATCCTCCTGTACTGGCAATAGCCGATTTATTTTTTGATTTTATGACAAAGTCTAGTCGAAAGAGTTAAAATCCAAGTTGATGTTTTAAGGCACCAACTCTGCTGAATGCTTTATTTGGTTTTCTTTTGTTTTCCATCACAATAGCAACTTTTCCTTTCCAAAGTCTTCTGCTTTCAAGGCAGGGGACACAAAAATGCCATTTTCTTCTAAAACCATTTAGACTCTTCATGCAAATTTTATGCCAGCGTGAAAGCAAAATAAGGATTCTAAAATAGTCATGAGCTCTGGGAGCTTTTCTTTTTAAAAAAAAAAAAAAACTTTACCTCTGCTTTTATTAAAATAACATTAGACTTTTAGAAATTCCTGGTACACTTTTTACAACTGAGTGCATTGGGAATAGTCCTGCCTCAGGGTAGGTGCACACAGTGTTCCACACCACTGCCACCCGCCTTTGACCAACTTATAGGACCCATCTTCCTCAGTCCTCCCCTTCCCTGCCCCTGCAGCATACACCAGGAATTCCTAAAGTCTTTAATTAGGCACAGTAACAAATCCCAGCTGCTGTGTTCAGTCCCCTAGACAAGTAGTGCTGAAGGTAATGTAGACTCATTTGGAAGAAAGAAAAACCGCTCTGCCAATGTGGCCAAAAGGGACACTTCCTCTGGAGTCTTCCTGGGCTGCATCTAATACTCATTTTTTGGACTGCCCTAGCTGCTTTGGTTTTTGTGTGCGTGTGAGTGACGCATGTAATGGATTATATTTGTTCAATGCAAGATTCCTAATTGAAAGCGGTTTTTCAATACCATAAGCAAATAAAACACTATTTGAAATGAGGGGGAAAAAAATCATGTGTGTGTGTTAACTTTCTGGGGAACTAAAACTTTTTATGCCTTTTTTTAATTAAATGAAAATCAAGATCAAGTTATAAATCCTTGAAAGAACAGGGGTTTATAATTGAAATTTCAGCAGATTGCTTGCCAAAAACAATGCAGAAAGATGGTTTCACTTTAGTTGTGCATTTTCAATTGAGTATTTTTAACTAAACAGTATGTGAGGAATTTTCACATAGTTACCTTCTAACCCTAAAATATTAAGTCATTACCCTTGTGGGGGGGACACCATGTAAGGCACTGGACAACTTTTGAAGAATCCAGAAATCATTCTTGCTAAAACATCCTTTGCATAAAATAGACTTGAACTAATGTGCTGATTTTTTTTTTTTTTTTTTTTAACATTTTCAGATAGCAAAATTACTCAATGGGAAGACCCAAGACTGCAGAACCCAGCCATCACTGGCCCGGTCAGTATTCTCAAACTCTGACCCTTCAGTATAAGCTTTTGATTTCATCTATATATGCATCTCTTGTGTGTGACTGATTACCGTGATGCCAGGGACGGGAGTGAATGAGTTGTTTAACATTCCTCCTCCTCACCAAAGTTTCCAGGTGGGGTCCAGCTAAGTGTGCCTTTTCATGGGATGTTCATTGTGAAGGAAAAGAATATGGTTTGATTAATGGTAACAGAATGAAGTGTTTTTCATTCTCCTTTGTAAAAGGGTGGTTTAAAAGTATAATTAAAATTTCTCCCTTTCTCCTTCTCTGATGCAAAGCCAGGCCTTTATTTTGTAGAGCGTTGTCATTTCTTTAAGCCACAGTTAGTAAATAGGCACTAATAAATTTACATCTCTTCCAACTTTAAACATCTGTAGGCATTTGGATGAGGTGGTTGCTACCTTGGGGGAACTGGCAGTTAAGGATCTTTAACTCTGCTGACCCACTCACTTTCTCACAGCTGTGCCTGAATACGAATTTTGTGGCTTTGATTCAGTTCAAATTATATTTTAAATGATGAATAGATGTCTATCTGAAAACTTCAGAGATGCTGCAGGGCCAATGTGCATTGAGGACTGACATCCTCTGGCCGTTTGGTTTTGGTTTTGGTTTTGGTACTGGGGATTGAACCCAGGGCTGCTTTAACATCAAGCCACACCCCCAGCCCTTTTTATTTTTTGAGACATCATCTCTCTAAATTGAGTACAGCCTCACTAGTTGCTGTGGGTGACCTCTAGCTGGCAATCCTCCTGCCTCAGCCTCCTGAGTCACTGGGATTACAGGCATGAGCCACTGGATCTGACTCCTCTGACCTTTTTTTTTTAATTCTTTCATTGAATTTGTTCAGCTATTTTGATACTATTCCCTCTATAAAATGCCCCCCAATACAGTCAAATACTTTTTTCTCTCTGTAGTCTAAAAAACACTGTCGTGCTTTGATAGCTTCTTTTTTCATATTCACACTAAAATTGATTATTAGAATGGTATTTCCCTTCTACATTATTAAAAACAAGGCAAATTCAAGAAACAATGTTGTCTGCAATTGACAGAAGATGGTTCACATGATGATGTTGAAGTTTTCACTATTTTTTTATCACTTATCAGTCACCCACCTTCACTCAGAACACTACTCCTTTTTATTTATTAGTTATCAGTGAAAATTATTTAGCATTATAAATTCAGGTAGGTTTGCTCCCAAGCAAGATATCTGTTCTTTCTGTTTTCTGTTAATAAAGGAGACTTGCTTGCTTTTTTATTGTTATTAGTGATACTGCTTTCAGTAGGAATATGTGTATTTAGGTATTTGCCAACTTGGGGTAGATATTTGGCTCTACTATTGAGTTCTAAATATTGGGCAGTTTTCATATGATTTTTCTCCTTGATTTTTGTAAATATTTAGCATCTCCTTTTCAGCATGGATTAGAGGGGGTTTTGCCTATCCACCTCTTATTTCCAGTTGTATTGCATCGTTAAGGGAATATTGTTAGGTATTTGAAACATAATGGAGGTCTGGTTATTTTTTGTAAGTGTTCTTTTTGTGTTTTTAAGAAATATGTAGTGTCTCTCTGGATGTAGAGTTCTTGATGTGTGCATTAGGTCCAGGTTGTGATGTTTAAATTATCCAGATCCTTACTACCTTTTTCCTGATTGTCTGATCCACTCAAGATTTGTATCAAAATCTCCATAGTGATTGTTGCTGTGTGAGTTTTGTTGGTTTGTGTAATCACACTCACTTTCTCTCTTCCTTAGTGTTTGTATGGTGTATCTTTTCTATCTCTTGCAGTTTTTCTCCTCCTTTCTTGCCAAGTGATAAAAGTATAAACAAATTTCTTGGCCCACCATTGGCTTTTGTCTCCATTGTTCCCCAAGGTTTTCACTGAAGTGCACAGTGCACTTGTGGTTCTGAGTGTGTGGTCTGCAGAGCACAGGCCTCTTCTGGGAACTTTTTTTGAAACGCATGTTTTCAGGTCCCACCCCAGATCCATTGACTCAACAGCTTGGGGTGGGACAGCAGTCTCTGTTTTATGGAGCTCTCCTTGGGCTGCTGATGCCGTCTCAAGACGAGAGCCTCTGCCCAGCAGCACCACCAGTGAGCTGGAGTGGTCGTGGGACCTCTTGGTCTTCCACTCTGAATGTCTGGTCGGACCTCCTTCGAGGTGAAGTTCAGCTGGTGAAAGAATTGTCATTTAATTTCCTTCAGTACTTTGGAGACATTCTCGCTTGTCTTCTGGCTTCCATACTGATGGCAAGAAGTCTGTTGTCAATCTGTCATTTCTGTGTGGGTAAATAGCTCTGTTCTCTGGTGACTTTAAGTTTTTTCTCTGTGCCTTTAGTGTCCTTGAATTTCACTATGTGGATTTCTCTCTGTGTATCCTGCTTTGGGCTGAAGATTTTTCAACACAGGGAATCGGGTCATCTCTCTTCCAGAAAATTCTCAGCTGTTGTTTCTTCACATACTGCATGTTTTCATCCTCTGTAGATCTGTTTGTTTGGGGCAGTACTGGGAATCAGGGTCTTGCTAAGTTGCTGAGGCTGACCTTATACTTGCAATGCTCCTGCCTCAGCTTCCCGAGCGTGTACCACCGCACCAAGCTCTGAGTCTGTCTTTGTAACTCCTAACTGGGCCTTTGGTTTTCTCGCATATTGTCTTTCTTGTCTCTTAACTTTCACATTCTCTCTCGTACGCGCTATCACTGCCATATTGTGAATCATGACTTAGTTCTACCAGTGAATTCTTTTTTAAAGTTTTTATAGAATCTATTCTTTGTCTGTTCATTGTATCTAATATTTCAGTGACTGTTTACTTGCTCCAAGTACTATTTAATGGTCTTGTAAATTTTGCTTTTTTAATTCGTTCATCTCCTTTAAAACACTTATTTAGTATGTCTTTTCGGGTTATTTTATTATACCTGGTCCTGAGGCATTAAATCTCCTACTCATTGTCTATATTCTCCTTAATGGTAGTTTATTTTGTGTGTGTGTGTGTGTGTGTGTGTGTTTTCATCTTCATTTTCTTTCTAGGTGGCTTTTGTAAATCCTGACCTGTCTTTATAGTCAACTTGTTAGCCTGGGTTCATGCCACTCAGTTAGGATAACTGAACCTCATAACAGGTTTGGAGTATCGGTTTATTACAGGCCTGTTTCTTTTGGTTTTTCTCCCATTTGTGGTCCCAGATAGGTTAGCCTCTTTCAGTGTCTCTTGGCCAGTAGATACTTTTCTTTTCCCCACTAAGATGTTAGGGTCTAAACAGAGAATTCTGCTCTGGCACCCTGGAACATATAGACTGTTGACAAAATTGTGTGTCCCTGTGGGAAAAAGATGAACAACTAAACACAAACACCTGTGTCTGGGTCCAGTGCCCCCTTGTTCCTCTGAGCCCTACTGCTGACGGGATGCCTATACCCTCTCTTTTTCCCCAAGTTTTCAGAATCTTAGCTCTGAATTGATCCAGCATTTATACACATTTGTCAGATGAGGAGAGACCCTTTCTGTGGTGGCTCAGTGTACAGCAGTTCTCAGAAATTAGTATGTGCTCTCTCTGACGGATGCGTCAGTAGCGCCGTTAAGTGCTGTCCATACATGCTGCTAGAAGGAAGGCCATCTCAAGGACTGTCAGCTGATTGGGAATTCCCAGCAATGTACTCGGGGCAGGTGTTATCACCAGCTCACCAGAAGCTCAGAAAGCTAATCGTGTTGTCGCCAATTCCCAAAATGTCAGAACAAAGACTAGAGCCCTGATGTTCTGGCATCACCAGTTATCTCCACAAGTCTTTTTGGTCCAGCATCACCCAGAATAGAATGACACAAAATATTTAGAACGGACCTACACAATCAGCTAGGTTTCACACTACCAAGAAGGGAACGTTTTCAAAGCAGAGCCAAAGGGCTAAGTTCACAGGTATGTTAATTTTTCACATAGGTGTGTTTTACAAGTTAAATCGTATGCAAGAAAATGAGATGCCAGGTTTTCATGAGAGGATAAATAATTTGGTGTGTCTGATGCAAGAAACATACACATAATTCTCTTCAGAAGCTGCTGCGTATGGCCATCTCTGTCCTGGTATGCAGTTGGAATCTTTGCAGGAAATTTTTCCATCTTGAGAAATACCTCTTGAGAGGAAGGATAGTTAGCACTGGAGGAGAATGATGTTTGTTTAACTTTCTTGCACCGTTCCCCAGAAGAAGAGAGACCAAAGACCAGAAATATCTCAGCTTCCTATTTCCACCCACATCTAGTCAGCACCTGCTGGTTACAAGACAAGCACAAGAATGGATGTCACGGTGGGGGCCAACATTTGAAATTGTTCCTTGGGAAATTTTTCACCTTTTAAATGCCATTGAGCTTTTTCTGTAAACAGTGATGAATATTAACGCATTTTTTCAACACTTGGGAAGGGGAAAAAAAATAATTACTGGGAATCAGACATTTAGAAATGAAAGAGACCGAAGCTGATCTGATCAGACCCTTCTGCTTAACCATGAAGATGTTCCTTAGCAGAGAGGACATGTCAGAACTGCCTGGTGGCAGCGTCTTCCTAAAATTCAGGTGGTCTATGCCTGTCCTTAGAGAATGGAAGGAAGTCACATCTTCAATTTAATTCCCCTCAGTCACAGTCCTAGCTGAAGGCATCAACCAAAGGCTTTCCCTCCTCAGGATTTGGTACTCACTGTCACTGGCCTGTTCCCTTTGCTCAGAGGTCCCCCAGAGCTGCCCTTCCTGACCACCTCACACAGAACTGAACTCTGCACTGGATGGACAGATGTTTTTCTCCCTCGTGATACGTGCATTTGTTGATCCTCATATTTCTCACTGCCTGTCGGCCCCAAAAGCTTGTTAGCCTCCAGTTAACTGGGAACTGGAAAAGGACCTTTTTCATTATGTACCATTATTCCCTTAGCACTTAAAATGCCTTGCACACCTTGCACAGAGTCGGGCTCAGGAAATGTCTGTTGAACAAATGAACAAGTGAACCACCAAAAAGTGATACATAGATTTTAATTGGTCATGGAGTGTAGTGTTGGTAGAGCAGAGAAAACCATGTCTTTGTTAGCATAAGAATATTGTATCCTCATCTGTACATGGATGGTCGTCCACGTATTGACAAGAGTCAGGATTCATACCTGAAGGCTGAGGACGTGGCTCAGCATAGACACTCGCCTAACATGCATGAAGCCCTGCATTTAATCCCAGCACCACCACCCTAGTCCACACACGAGGAAAACACACATGATTTCCTCAGACTAAACATTGCCAGAACACATGGGATGTATGGTCGGCTCTCCTGATCAGTGGAAAACTCGAATGAAATGTATGGGCCTGAAAACTTAGGACAGGCCCTAGGCAGTATGACTCTTCTCTAGAATGTTCTTAAGGTATATATGTATGATGTCTTCATTGCTCTTGAATTCAAAACAAATGACATGAACATTTTCCATATGGAATGGTTATATGTTTTTGTTTCATGAATTATTTGTTTAATCTTATGAAACAGAGGGTGAAGGACAGAAGCATTTGCTCTTTCTCTCTTTATGGTCAAGAATAAGCATGACAAAAGGTTCAGGGGTGTAGTCTGGAGACATTTTCCTGAGAATTGGTATATTTTATTAACTTAGCCTTAAATGATACAAGCATAACTATTTGCTTCCTAGATTTATACTGTTCATTAAAAAGCAGTGATTTTCCACTTGTGAGGTGGGTGCTAGTGTCTCTGTGTATATGCAAAAGACAGTCCGTTCTACTTCATTAAAAAAAAACTATGAGCCTTTTCAATAGCCTAGTCAGGCTCTACCTCTAAGCTGCTTTACAGATAGCAAATAAGGGCTATGTAAATGGTACATAAAAATGTTATTACTCTGCCTGAAGAGACACCAGAACTTTTGAATAGTTTCAGCTGGCTTGGATGTTAGCCCACCCCTGTGGCGCCATCCCTGTGCTTCATAGAGAAGGCATTTGAGGTTTACAGAAATCCTCATCCAGGAACCCTGAGTAGGAAGGAGCACCCCTGGTGACTCCTCTGTGGAGGTCTTCCCAGAGCGCCATCTGCCCAACTGCGTTCCTCACCAAGGGTGTTAATTCACTTTTCTGTCTACCCATGGTATTTCCCCCAGAGGTTTTTAAAGCATGAATAGACTTTTCAAAATGCCCAATATAGGTCATTTTGAGTTGTGTGTTAAAACATCAAGAACAATAACTCTTAACAGGGGAAATGAGTAATATATATCCCAGTGGCTTGAGAGGATGAGGCAAGAGGATGGAAAGTTCAAAGCCAGCCTCAGCAAAAGCGAGGTTCCAAGCAACTCAGTGAGACCCTGTCTCTAAATAAAATACAAAATAGAGCTAGGGATGTGGCTCAGTGGTCAAGTGCCCCTGAGTTCAATACCCAATACCCCCAAAATATATATATGCACATATATATGTATGTCAATATTTTAGAGTCTGATGAAAATCACAGAGAAAGCATATTTAGTTTGTGCAGCACACCCTAAATGATTTCTTCACTGCAAAGACAATTGTTTTGGGGGGTGAAAGCCCCATTCTGTGCCGATTAGTCCTAAGACTTTCCCATGTGCTGCGTAGACATTATGTAAATGTGCTATGAAAAATATGGGAAGTAAGTATTTAAGGTTTATGATTCATGAAACTCCCTGAATGTTGGCTCTGTGTACATAAATTTCAAGCAAATTGTTTGCATTGTCTATATTTATAAATTTATCTTCCAGGCTGTTCCATACTCCAGAGAATTTAAGCAGAAATATGACTACTTTAGGAAGAAATTAAAGAAACCCGTGAGTAATCTTCTCTTCTCAAAATGCTGTGTTTGGGTTGTCTGTGAGCTGCCAGAGTTACTCAGAACACCCCATTTGTTGCTTTTACATGGATACTAAAAATATTGCCTTCCCTTTTTTACTGCACTTTGATCCACCTGGATCTTCAATCTGAATTTTCTTTTTAACAGAAATGGTAAGTGGAAATTGACTCAGTATTACATATCAAATCACCTGATGGGTAATTTCTTATGTAAAACCTAAAAAGATAGAAATTACTTTTATGGGATATAAAATAATTCATGACTGCAGTCACAAAATCTGGGGAAGCCCATACAGTTGCATATGGTTGTCATATTTTAGACAGTCTACATTCAGGTTTTAAAAGTGTTCAAGTCCTTCGCTTTAAATTCAGAAGTATAGTTTTAACTACTAACATTTATAAATTATGTAACAAATAATTATAATACTTGGCAGCCTTAGTGTAATTTTTTTTTTATTGCAATTCTCGGTGGCAATTTACAACCCAGAAACCCTGTAAGGTTTTTACAGGCGGTGCTGCAAATTACAGTGTTGCTTACCCCTGACCCATCACCCCCAAGTCCTTCCACCTGTGCCTCTTGTGCTAGTTCTGATGGTACTACTCCAGTTTCGGTCTTACAGTTGTTGACATCACTGGGAAAGGAGAGTCCACTAATTGTCCAGCTCACACGGTTTGAAAGGTCTATCCTCCTCTCCCTGGGCATGCTCCCAGGTGATGCCTGGAGTTCTGGGCATCCACTGGGATGAGGCACAGATGGCCTCGTCCTCGCTCTGTCCTGGATCACTCCACCTGTGGTTCAAGTGCCTCGCTGATGACTACTTTCCAAATGACTCTCTGTTCTTCAGGGCTCACGTTAGAACACGTGTCCTCCAGTGTCAGAAATGACTTGGTGTCTTTGTCACATTTGCACAGCTGCGCTCTGCTCAGCCCCATTCTTAGGGCAAGGCCAGCCCTGGACCTCGTTCTTCTAGGTGGTGGTTCTCACAGCCCAAACTTTGGCAGAATCAGGGTCGCACTCCCCGTGACAAATGAACTCGGAGGCCAGATCAGATTTACCACCTGTGGTCCCTATCAGATATGCAAATGGTCCGAGCCTGGCCAGATGGGGATTGTTTATAGGTTTTGGTTACCTGTCCTTGATTGAAACCATACATGGAGCTGGCCATTCTCTTGCTAGTAGTTGAAGTGCCCGCACTGTTTGTCCAGAGGACAAGGACGATTTCCTTGTGCTCAGCAGGTTTTCTTCTACAGCGTCATGGCTGACTCAGCTGCAAGTAGATGCCCTGTGTGCCCCATGTTGACACAGTGAGGATTCTGTCTGTGGGAGGGGGAATCCATAAAGGAGAGGATCTCAGTTGGAACCACTTGTCCCTGCACGTTTATTTGAAGCCTGCCATCACTCTACCTTTTTTTTTCCCCCCTGAGAAAGCAAGGTACATATTTACTGTATGGTCCTGAGCTTTTTCTTTTTTCTTTTGTGTAGGCTGATATTCCAAACAGGTTTGAAATGAAACTACACAGAAATAACATATTTGAAGAGTCCTACCGGAGAATCATGTCTGTAAAAAGACCTGATGTCCTAAAAGCTAGACTGTGGATTGAATTTGAATCCGAGAAAGGTCTAGACTATGGGGGCGTGGCCAGAGAATGGTTCTTCTTGCTGTCCAAAGAGATGTTCAACCCCTACTACGGTCTCTTCGAGTACTCTGCAACGTAAGTATGGAGTACATTCAGAATGTGGGTCCCACAGAAATGGTTTTATCCTGAATGAATTTAAACTCAATGGGACGATAAGCTAATCACTCATTTGAAATGAATCAATGCCCAATTCCATCCCTCCTCATCCCGCCATCTCCCGCAAGTCTGGATCAGGCTCTCTACCTGGTGAAATAATGTACTCCATGAACACCTAAAGTTGATTCTTCTCTTGTCTGTTGGGTTCCTGGAATTGAAATTGAAAATGTGTTGGGTAATTATGGTAAGGAACAAGAGGCAATTTTCATTTGTAATGTTCCTTTATTTCAAGAGGAGAATTCATCAGAGTCGGAATTCAGAAAGCGTCATTACATGAACAAGAAAAGTCTCTGAAGTCATACTTATAAAGGCAAATTATGAAGACTTTGAGAACTCATGCTTGGGACACGAAAGGACCCTACCCTGGTCCTGTAAGGGAAGAACCAGGCTGCCCCTTGCATTAGGATTTCATCTCTGCCAGGCATGGAAAACTGAGACAAACTGAATTGCTTTCTCAACGCATGTTGGCGACTAGTAAGGCCAACCATTTTTCTCCAGGCTGAGGAATTTGAAAGTCAAAGGCTGACCTCAGCTACCAGGAGAATGAATAGTTGTGGCCCTTTCCAAGAGGCATTGAGCATCGGTCCTGGGCTTTTAGGAGGACATGTGTTCTGCTGATGCTTCCTCAGGCCACCTGTCTCTTAGGAGTGTTATAGTTAAAGCTTGGTCCCAGGGTTTCATAAATTGACTTCCAGACCACTCACGTATAATCAAATCAAGCCTTTATTGAAGCACACCGGTGGCAGCTGACCAGAACATAAAGCTGTTCCCCTGATCAGCCCTGAACAATTGCAAGGGCACTCCTTATAAGCCTGAAAACCGAAAAAATGGATGTTCAGGGGGTCTAGCCAATGCAAGCAAGCCAGGTTACAGAAGCGGGACAGTGCAATCAAGTGGAGGGAAGCCTAACCAATCACAGTTAGCCCAGTCACCCCAGTTACAGAAACAGTACCTCATTAGGTAGTTCCGTGTTCTTAAAGGTTTCTATAGCAAAAGGAAAAGAACATCTTGCCCCAGTCATGACTCTTCTACTTGGCATGGTTGTTTTGCAGGATGAAGTCATAAAACAAAATGGAGTCACATTTGCTCCTACTATCACAGGAGCTCATTTAGAAGACAACCTCAGTACATCCTTCTTGGTTGATCTAGCCAAGAATTGCCCAGTGGTGTTGGTGGTTGGTTGGTACTGAGTCCATGAAAAAGTCCATTGTGTAATTGATGGAAACCATTGAAGTGGAGGGCAGGATAGGAGGCAAGATCCTCACCTCTCACCCATATGCTCCAAGATGTCCCCTGGAGGAACCTGTCCATGAAGTCCAGTTTGAAAAGCACTGATCCTCCTCATCGTTAGATCAAAGCAGGACCCTTGGGTGCAAACAGGCATCTTGAGGCTTGCCTTGTTGAGATACTTGGGTCTTGCCTGGTACTCTTGAGGCTTTTCAGGACAGAGTGATGGTTATATTAACCAAGTGTGGGACCTGCAGGGAAAAAATCTTAGCCTCTGGAATAAGTTGGCCTCTGTCATGGAGAGGATCTGAAGGGCAGGTGCTGTAGGAGCCCCTGCTCAGCCCCTTCATCACGCAGCCCATCTCATCTTCCCCAGATGCTTGCTGACATTGTTACAGACCCCACGTGGGCAAACGGCAGCTTCTGAAGATCTCTCACTCTGCCTGGCTTGCGTGTTGCTGAGCAGGCCTCAGCAGCTGGGCCCAGCAGAGGATGACTGGATGCTGAGTCCCAGCCTCCCATCACACCTTTTCCCACCAGGTGCAGGACATTTGCCAGAGCACCGCAGGAGCCGAATGACAAATGGCAAAGAAAAATTCAGCTTCCTGGGTTTCTTGTTTAAAATTATAACTGGGTCTTACTTCTCTCTTTTCTTCTCCCAAAGGGACAACTACACACTTCAGATCAATCCCAATTCGGGCCTCTGTAACGAAGATCATTTGTCCTACTTCACTTTTATTGGGAGAGTTGCTGGTCTGGCAGTATTTCATGGGAAACTCTTAGATGGTAAGTGATTTAGAAATCTTGAAGCTGTAAGAACAGGATCATTGCTGTCCATGCTTCTTCTTAGGTTCTTTCACATCACAGATTATAAGTAAAAGCTTCGCTGTTTCTCGTTAATGCAGTGAATAATTTTTATATTTCACCCATAACGGTGATCTTTTTCCTGGTGTCATCTTGGGTACTGAAGACAGAGTGTCTCTGGACAGCTTTAAAAAATATTTTTTAATTTAATTGTGAAGCACAGAACATTCTGTATTTATGCATTTTGTATGTTTGCCAGAATAAGTTTTCTTTAGTGAGAGCTAGATCTGGTGACAGATGGAAAAACTAATTGAAAAGTTAATTAAAATGATCTAATCCATCAATATCCTGCCATTGTTCCATTTGTCCCTAGAATTATTTTTTAACATGAAAAGACTAAATAATTCCAAAGTAATATTATAACCCCAGAGTCCCTGCTGAGACAGATGACACAAAATCACTTCATCCTATTTAGAGATGTAAATCATAGGAGAATTTCAAAAGATCTTAGAGAAGTTACAGGTCAGACCCCCTGCCTGGCTATGGCTTATCATACAGATTTCAAAAGTCACTTCAAAAGTGCTCCTAAGAGGCCACTGTAGAAATCATCAGTGAGGAGACATCAGAAATATTTTTTTAAGAACTTGGATGTGAAATGTTTGAAAATGAAAGACATTAAGATTAGAGATTGACATTTCAGTTACTGTCGAGAGAGCTATTTCCAGGGGAATTATGTTAATTGCATTCCAATAAATAATTGATATATTTTATATTTTTACTGTTAATTGCTAACTGATTTTGATCCTGACTTCAGTGAACTCCTATTTTAGCGAGAAAATCAAAAGCAGAAGAATCACAATGATAGCATGTAGGCAAAAGGGGCAGGGCAGGGGGGCGTGGGGCACACTGAGTGCTCAGAGGAGAAACGGACCAGCTGGGAGTACTTTACCTTGGGGCTTGTCACATGTGAGCATCAAACACTGGGGTTGTGTCAGAAGAGCTTGGGTTGGCCAGGAGCAAAGCTCTGTGGCGGGATAATGGAGGGAGGCCATACAGACAGGGAGCTGAGCCACTGCTGAGTGGTCCCTGCCAGTGGGTCACAGCTTACATCAGTTACAGCCACAGAGCCCACAGCTGTGCATGATCATCAGGTCTTCAGTTTCTTAAAAATGCAAATGCCTATCAGCAGAGCATCCTCTGCACATGTGTCTACTGCCCCTGCCCTGGGCTTTGTCCTTTCACCTGACCAAAGTGTCCCGGAGTCTGCGACCCTAAGTCCGTGCCAAGCCAGAGGCACATGGGCCCGTGCTGCAGGCACTGGGGTGCGGGTGAAGCAAGAAGGGGCCAGGGCCATTCGAGGCGGCGTGTGATGCTCCCTCCTTTGTGGAGGTCCCTGCTGGGGGATGTCCACATGGTGGAAGAGTCACCCTCTCTGCCATGACCTCCCTGAAGTCCCTGTCCTCGACACTGTAGGGAATGGTGTGCAGACCCAGCCTCCCTCTCCTCTCAGGTTTCCTCCGGTCGCTGCCCGAGCAATCATACTGAAAGACCTGGGGTTTTCCCGGATCTTCAGTGACTTTTCACTGCTCTGGAGATTAGCCCTTCCCTCCAGCCCCACACAAGCTCTACCTGCCCAGCCCCTTCTCTGGCCTGGGACACCGTGCATTTCCACCCTGACCAATAGCTAATGTGTCCCCAGTTGGTTCCTCTGTCATGTCCTCATTTGCATGCACACTCCTGCTTGACTTGGGGCTCACTGGTGGCCTCCGGAAGCCATTTCAGCCCTCTCTTATACCACGCCTGTTGGGACAGCCACCTTCTTCCCCCTTGGCCCCCCTTTCCAGGTCGTCCTCTACTGGTTCTGGATTACTCTAGAAGGTTCCTGATTATTCTGTCCTGGTTTCATTCAACTGGAAAACAGATTAATCTTTTACTTCATGCTCTGTTGTACAGCAGCCTCAAAGACTTGAAAATAAACCCGGTTTTTGCCATATTTTAGGTTTCTTCATTCGACCATTTTACAAGATGATGTTGGGAAAGCAGATAACTCTGAATGACATGGAATCTGTGGTGAGTAGACACAGACCATCATGGGGCCCTATGGATGAGTGTTGGAGACCATGTTCAAAGTCACAGTGATTGCTGTGGGTGTTGTTCAGTGTGAACAGGGAGCAAAAATTAATTAATCTCCCTAATTTTTGTAAGAAGCAAATCACTGTTCAGTTTTCCTGGGGTCATGGTACTTAGGATAGATACACCAAAGTCCAGTTACCCACTTTACCCGGCACAGGACTTGTGCAAACAAATTACATTTAAGAGGTATCTGGAGACCTCACTGTAGCCTGTCTTCCATCCTGTTAGTGCAGAGTGCCTAGAGATTCCTCCCTGTCCTCTGTTCCTTGACCTCAGAATCATGGCAGTGTAAGACCAGGACTATAGGAAGAGTATGCAGTTGTGCTAGCTGTGGAGGTTGAGTGCCCACGCAGAATGGCCGAGTCAGGGTGAGGGCCTCCCGAGGGTGGTCTGGGTTTTCACTTTGCACTGAACTCACTAATCTTGCTGAAACTGGCCATATTAGAATAGATAGGATTTTCTACAAAAGCCAAAGCTAACTTTGTTTTCATAGTATACTCATGCTTCTGTTTTTCTTTCAATTTACCTCTACCCACTTTCTACCTCTGGAGTGTCTGGGTGTTTGTCCATGTGCCATTACAGGCACGGGGCCATCAGGACACATCTTTTATTCACATGGGGTATTTGAAGCTTTGCCCAAGTTAGAAATTCTACCTTCTTCAGTCTTTTTTTTTCTTTCAATTATTTATTTATTTATTTTATATATTTTTTCATATGTGATGCTGACACTTGAACCCAGTGCCTCTTGCATGCTAGGCTTGTGCTCTACCACTGAGCCACAACACCAGCCCCTTTTTTATTTTTTACATCATGGACCTCCCTCAGTCTTGCTGGTGGGTGTAGTGACCGTCCCCTCTACTCCTTGGTACATGAGCCATGTCCTTGATGCTGACCAGCACTGAGCAGCTGCTGCTTCTCTCACAGTAGGAAAGGAGAGAAGGCCTTGGCCCCTGCTGCATGCTGTCAGGACTGGGCTGGGGACACAGCCTTAAGTGCCATCTCACTTCTCCTTGTAGTCTTTGCCTTTGCTTATAATCTTGTGTTATTGCTATATTAAAAAGAAGCAAGGGACATAGAAATTGCTCTTAAAGTCTAATTTTGAACTCTGTGGTGACAGTGTTTTAGATGCAGTGTGCATATTATCTTGGCCTTTTCAGAGCCTTGTTGTCCCCAGCAGTAGAGACCCTGGGCCTGAGCAGAGTGGAGCTGGTGGCCCATGGCGCTCTACTCATTTCTGAAATCAGAGTTGCCTCCCTTTTTGCTTTAATTAACTTGCAGAGTTCCATGAAAGCACAGGAAGGGATGGAATCTGTAAAACCAGTGTTCAGTTAGAACCATCTCTGTCCTGCCCATTTTCCTCTGTCTTCACTCTTAAAAGCTGGGGAGTGTATTGCTGTGTGCATGTTGAGTTATGTAGACCTGGACATCCAGCTGCTCTGACACCCTCTGCAGTGGGCATCCTCTACCCATTTCACAGAGGACAGGAGTCAACTACAAACCCCTGTTAACCCTCAAAGTTTTGTTCCCCTTTTAAATTAAAGGGGAGGGTGGGTTGGAATGGGGCAGGCACCATCACATTAGTGAACAGTGTAAATTCTTGAGCATGGAGTTATATTAAAAGGACTTGAATGGAGTCAGATGACTTTGTGTTTTTAATTCTGTACTTTCTGTGTCATTGCTATAGGACAGTGAATACTACAACTCTTTGAAGTGGATCTTAGAAAATGATCCTACTGAACTGGACCTCATGTTCTGCATTGATGAAGAGAACTTTGGGCAGGTACGTGGAGGAGACACCAGGAGCCCTTTGGCTTTCAAAGAACATTGTCTCTTTCATAGGCTCTATCGCTGCTTTCCTGGACAGTTAAGAAGGGCCACCCAGAGCTCAGGTGTTCATTATCACCTCACTGTTGCAGCACCTGCTTATTGTCCCAGGAAGCCAAGTCCTGGTTACGGCCCCTTCTCTTCCCCACAAAGTTAGACATTCAAGAGGCCTCGGGAGCATGCATCAGCCTCTCTGCTCCAAAGCCAATCCTTGGTCTTAGCATTGAGGTAGTCAGTGATAGTGTGACCGTTTTACTGCAAGGTAAACATATGCTGAGGGCACAGGGTTTTTTCTCTGCTTTGTAGTTCTGTTATCCTGCTGGAATTTGTGGGCTTGGGTTTGTCTTCTGTTCCTTCTTGCTGTGCTCCCATGTGGCCATCAGGCTGGATTCGTCATAAAAGTCACTTTCAAAGACACAGCTGCCTGCTTGGGGTCTTCATCACCCTCCTGGGGCCTGGAGGGTGTGTTTGTCTGAAACCTGAAAGCGTCAACTTGGGACTTGGTTGTTGTCCAGTAATGATGCTTCCCTGAGATCGGGGCGGAGTATCATCTGCTCCTGACCAAAGCCCAGAGATATTTCCCATCTCTAGGTCCAAAACTGCATGGCCTTGAAATTAATTAGGTCATAGAGCCCATTTTCAGGGTTGCCATATGGAAAACGAAATAGATTTATTTTTTTATTGCCTCAGAGATTATTGAAAGTGAACTAACCCCACAACACTTTTTGTTTAAGCTGTCCCTATTTAAGAGTCTTAACTACCCGTTTTCAAGACCAGCCTCAGCAACTTGGTGAGACCCTGTCTCAAAAAGGGCTGGGGGTATTACACAGTGGTTAAGCACCTCTGGATTCAATCCCCAGTACCCGTCCCCCAAAAGAGTAGCACATAGATGATTTTCCTAGATCACTTTTAACAAATGAAGGAAAGGATGGCACCAAAGACAAAATGAATCTTGTGTGTCACATGCATACGAGTGCGTCTTTGTGTATTCTCAAGAGAAAAACACACAAACCAGCGGACACAGAGTAGTTCAGAAAACTGTTAGCCGTGACAGTGGTTGAAGTAAACGAGCTGGGAAACTTTCTTTAGTTGTAGTTGGATGTAACTATTTCTATTTAATAACTGAAAACTAAACAGAGGATGTTGTATTTTTAAGTAGACTTCAGATAGAGATTCTGTTTATCGTTATAGTTGATGCTAATTGTTCACGATAAACAACCGAACCACCTCCTTTAATGCCATGGGGTCTTTTGACTTTGGGTAGAATCGGGTAGAGAGATGCAGTCAGCACAGACCCAGGAGATGATCAGGTGCTCAGTTTGTCAAATTATTGCCTTCCCCTTTCAGAGAGCTTAACCTGATGAAAAGGGGTTCATGTACCTACTTTCCATTCCGGGCAGGAATTTAGAGTGAATTAAGCTGCCAGGAATTGGTCTCTTTCTTCCTATTCAGTACACACAGAGCCCTGTTCATGGCACCTCTCAGAGATGCCTCCCATCTGTTCCCTGTCTCTACACCACTAACCCCCAAGTCCAGGCGGCTGTCTTCCCAGAGACTCCTTGCCAGTCTCTCTCTACTTTGGCCTCTCATAATGGTGCAGTGGTCTTTCCAGAATGTAAAACCGTCATGCTGTTTCCCTGCCAGAAACCTTCAGGGCTTTCCCAGTGTCCTTGAGGTAAAGCTCCAGGTCTGCCCTTTGTCCCATGAGGCCCTGCGTGATTGGCCTGCTCCTCCCCTCGAGGAGTACCACGGACCTGCTTCTCCCACTTTCTGGGTCAGCCCCACTGGCAGCCTGGAGCCCACTCAGCTGCTTCCTGCCTCAGGACTTGCTCTTGCTCTTCCTTCTGCTGGGAGCATCTCCTTCCCACTCTCGGAGCAGACATCCCTTCTCTGGAAAGCTAGCTCTTGACCACAGGCCATGTACGTCAGAGGATCTTCGTGTCGTCCTAACGGTGCGCAACACAGTGAACTTGGCATTTCTTTGAGTATGTGTGTGACATCTGTCTCTGCCAGACTTCCTCTTGGTGACAGGCAAGTGCTGTCTCTCTTGCACACTTGCCATTAGCTTGGTGCCTGGCACATGGTAGACACTCACGCGTCAGTTGTTGAAACAAAACTGCAGGCGCTAGCAAGACATCTGTCCAGGCCCCTTGCCTCTTTCCACTCTCTGCAGATCTGGTGGCCAGGCACTGCAGAAGACCTAACATGAGAGAGGTCCATTCCTTGCAGATACCAAAAGAAAAGTCATGTTCTCCGTGGAGTGGAGGGAATGCAGTTGCCATGGTGAAACAGACACAGTCAGCCTTCCACTGGGTTCTGAGCTGTTCCGTTTCTCATTTCACAATCAGAAGTGTCAGACCGTGAAGTCTGGTAGCTGTTAATCCGCGTAACAGAGCTGCAGCTGTTGTCATTGTTGTGCAGGTTGTTTTCTTTCTGGCTGATGAGAATCTGGAGCTGCTGATTTCTGGGGCCTATTGTGTTTCCACTGGAGAACTTTCGGTATCTGAGTGGTTGTCAGACACTAAGCAAGAAGACCAACCATGCACCGAAGACTCAGACATGCACACACGCACATGTTATCATGCTTTGTTGTGCACTGGCAAAGCAGATCCATGTGGCGCTTTGGAGAGGCTCTGGGGCATGGGTCTTCAAGGAGCTGTGCAGGAGGCAGGGGGCAGCAATTTCTCCCCAGCCTGTCAGGTGAAGCATGCTCTCTCAACAGGGTGAACGCCCCAACTGCTCCTTGGAGACCAAGGCAGAAGGATTGCAAGTTCAAGGCAAGACCCTGTCTCAAAATAAAATTTTAAAAGGGCTGGGGATGTATGGTGGAGTTCTTGCCTAGCCTAGCAGGGCTCAATCCCCAGCACCACACACACACACAGTGGGGGGGATCAGAAAAGGAAGAAAATTGGTCATCTCAGATGCTGCAAGGGCTCACTGCCACCCCAGGGTCTGTAGCACAAGTATGCCTTATATCCACGTATTCGGATGTCACAGACGTAGGTAAGTCATCCAGGTGTGGCAATTGTGATGAAGTAAAGGTTGAGAACACTGGGTTGGGGGAAGGGAGTGAGTGAAAAGATCAAAATGAGGAATGTGAGGTGGAGGGAAGGGGACGGCAGAGCCAGGAAGACCCAGACCAGGAGTCTGGAGTGGTGCTCTTAATATCAGGTCAGTCAAGGGACAGACAGAAGCAGCTGAGGAAATTTGAAGTCAGGCAGGAGGTGACAGAGACCTCAGTACTGTCTGTACGAAGCCTTACTGTCAGCTGGGGGAGCATAGGAAGGGTGAGGTAGGCCAGGGCAGGGGCTGTGGGCTCTGACTGCCCCCGAGGCCGCATCCTGCAGGGCTGTACATACCGCAGGGAGCCAGGTCTAGCACTCAGCACCAGGGGATGGAGTCTTAGAAGCACCCAGACTTCACTCTGCCCAAGTCCAGCAGCTCAATAGGATCCAAACTATATCTCAGCTAAGGGTGTCTACTTCTATGAGGGTCACACGTCATCTCGTTGTTTCCTCTGATGTTTTATATTTTTTTGTGGTGCTGGGGATCAAACTCAGGCTTGCATCTGCTAGGCAAGTACTCTACCATACATCCCCAACCCTTTTTATATATATATATATTTTTTTTTTATTATTATTTTTACTTTTATTTTGAAACAGACTCACCAAGTTGCCTAGGCTGGCCTCAAACTTGTGATCCTTCTGCCTCCGCCTGCCAGGTAGCTGGGGTTATAGGTGTGTACCATCAGGCTTGGTTCTTCTGGTCTTTATGAGGAAGAGAGAAATTTATGATCAGGCCACTAAACTTAAAGAAAAAAATAGGAGTTTTTCTACAAGCACTTATTGAGCACCTCCTGCATGCCAGACATTGTATTAGTGTCCTTTGTATTATGCTCTTCAGGACTTCAAACCCAAGAGACTGACAACCTGGCCCAGAATGCCAGTGTCAGGGTAGACATGTGTATTTAACAGAGTGGGGAAATATACAAGGTCAACAGGGATTGGCCCCACAGGGGAAGAAATGAAGACCCAGGAAGGGTCGGAAGTCAGCACCACTGATGGTTTGAACTGAGAAGCCTGCACAGGGACCTGGGGGCCTCGCTCCAGGATAGTGCTTTAGGGTGGGGACCAGCAAACCACCCTTCCCAGGCCCACCCATGAATACCCTTCACCAGCAGAATCAGCTCTTGAATGGGCACCACAGACTATTGCCTATGGCCACGTTATTTAGCATCAATAGTCTTGGTTTTCTTTTTCTTTCACAATTTTATTGGTTTGATCAAAAAATGTTTCTTTGTAAAAATAAAGTCTGTATAGTAAAAATCTAAAATTTATATAAATCATCTATCTCCACTATCTCAAGAAAAATCATGGCTGAAATTTTTATTTGTATCTTCTAAAATTATTTTTAGAAAGTTTTGTTTCAGTTTGTTTTTATGGAAGTGAAATTGTACTTTGCCCATAGTGTTCAACATAGTGTATCACAGATAACTTTCCATGTCAGTAAATATTAATCTATGTCATGTTAAGGGCTACACTTTCCATTTTTTAGATGTACCATATATTTTTAACCATGATCTGTTGGTAGGCATTTCAGGGCAGCTCAGCTCTCCCGAGACAGACTCTTCCCCAGCTCTGGAACAGTCATTCCGACTCAACTATGGCTCTCAGCAGCAGAGATGTCCCCCCATGTCTGTAGCTGACCCTCTCATTTAGTAGCACCCTGGAATTCACAACTCCTGGGGGCCCCTATAAGCAGAGCTAGAGAAGGGTGAGTCCTGGAAGGAGTGTTAGTCTAGGGATTGTGGGTGTTATTTACGCTCCCTGCCTAGACTGTTCCAGAGCTGGGGAAAAGTCTGTCGGTAGAGCTGAGCTGCCCTGAAAGCCTGCCCTGTATCAAGTGATGGGCTTGGATCATTAACCTGTCAGTGGTGTGGGTCAGGTAGAAAACCTCCATTCCTGAAGGGAACAGCAGGCAACCTTAGAGGAGGACTAAATGGAGGAAAAAGAAAAATCAATGACACTAAAAACGACTACAGAAGGTATAAATGAACACTGTCCACAGATCTTAAAAAAAAAAAAAAAAAAAAAAACTGGAAATGTTCTCCAGGAAATATGCCTACACCATTGTCCAGGTGAGAAATGGCGTCCTCCATAGGGTAGGAGCTGGAGGACAGCAGCAGGAAAGGGAGGTGGAGCCATTGGAAGGGTTTGAGGAAAATGAACAGTGTTAGAATCTGTATCAGGCCAAAAGTTGAATTCACTATAGAAAACGGAATTCAGTCATGTGGTGGAAAAGTGAGATCCCTTCCCAGAGGAAGAGGGAAAAGGAAAAAAATACAATGATGGATGCGATTGACGATGCCACCCCAGTGTGAACAGGAGTGAAAATTGAGACAGAAAAGACTGGGAGACAAGACTGGCTGTGCAGGGCAGGGTGGGAAGACGGCTGGAGCAACTCTGCTGGGCAAAGATCCATGCACACACTGGAGTCCTGTCCCTCTTATGGCTAGAACTCAGATACCTGCTATGGAAAGCTTCCCGCAGGCTTGATTGACTCTGTTATACAGCTGGGTGGGTGGAGAAGGAGACTCCAAGGGATCCCCAAGAAATATCCATGTGGCTGTCTTTTAGCAGGGGAGTTGGTGGGGATAAGTTTTTTTTCTACCTTCTTTGTTTGAAAATTCCTCCAATGAGAATCAACATTTTATTTTTAAATGAAAGGCGTCTCCCTCTCTTCTCTTGTGCTAGGTCTTGCATCACATGTACTGACATGAAGCCAGGGCTGGGTCAACACCAAACAGAAAAGGGATGGCTTAATGTCAACAGCTTTGTTCCTTCATCCAGGATTGCTCTGAGGGAGAGCACCGTGGGGCAGAGAGCAAGAAGGGTCCTAGTGCAAATAACTGTCTGCAGCCTGGCTTTTCAAGCTGCTTTCTTCCCTGTGTTCTTATTTTAAAGTCCCTGTCTTTTGCCTCTTTGCAATAAATTCCATGCATCCTTTTTTTATGACTCTAAAATCTAATTTCTAGAAACAAACAGAATGCATTAGAATTTGGATCTCTCTGGTTTTGATGCATGCACTCTGTCCTTTTTTCTGTTCAACATAATTAATTTCTCAATGAATAGCAGATGAACAATGTTGCTCTTCTCCATTGTTGCTAATGTATGAAGGATAATTAAAACCATAAAATAATTTGCCATTAATGATAACGTCTTTAAGTGTGTAACGTCTTAGCAGTTTCAAAGCCTCATTAGACATTCTCATACACACAGAGCCCATTTTCTGGGAAATATTTTTGAATAATTTTTTCTTTTATAGCAAAATATTACTTAATACACAAAATAACTTCATTATGGTGATTGTTGTTCTTTCTTTGATTACAGACATACCAAGTGGATTTGAAACCCAATGGGTCCGAGATAATGGTAACAAATGAAAACAAAAGGGAATATATTGAGTACGTATACACATATTTACAAATATTTCTGGTAATAAATTGAAGAACATAGTTGGTTGACATCCTCCGCCAAAGCAGCTCATGTGTGTTCAGTTGGTCTTTAGTCACTTTGTACAATGTGAGCTCCTTTTGACCTGGGCTGGTTGAATGTGGGATGTTGAATATGGAATGGAGATTTTTGTCTTGTGACTTCAGTGAGCTCTGCTATCAGGGGGAGAGCAGGGAGAAAGGGTGTAATTGTTGAGTGATAGGACAAATCTTTTTTTTTTTTTTTTTTTTTTTTAGTATATGGGTATCATCTAAAACTTAGAATTGCAACAGTGAAACCCAGTGGCAGGAACTAATTAGGTAAAATAAGCAACTACCAGAGATAAAATATTTTCTCTCTCTCCTGATTTCTTTTTCAAAATGAAAACTTAGGAAAATAATTAGAATGGATTAGGAAGAATTTCACATGCATAAGCATAATGAAATGCTTCTAATATTTGTAATATTCTTAACCTAGTCTCTCTGGTTTGGTAGAATAATGTTAAATTCTCTTGGAAATCCAGCTCTTAAGCAGTCCTAGGTCATTTGTATGAGGCAGAAGGTCTTTTGGTTGGGTATGTTACATTGTCATTTTGGGTATCACTGTGTGGTTCAAACACACCATTCTGGGCTCTTCCAAGGATCTTCAGGCTGCCAGGTGCAGGGATGAGGTCAGTGCAGCAGCATTTGGTTCTGGGGGCCTAGTTTCCACCATCTGTGGGTCACAGCAGTGGCCTGAGTTTATTTTGTGTACAGCACTCCTGTGTTTCAACAAGCTAGTGCCCTCCATTCTTCTCACCTGAAGTTAATCAAGGGGCTTGCATTGAAACCATGGTCTGAGGGTCTCAGCATCTTTAACTATGATCTGCAAAGAAAACCTGTGCTTCCTGATTAGGAAGAAATAGTGTTTCAGTCTCTACTAGGAAACCCGGAGAATAGAACCATCCCACAACAGGCTTCTCTACTCTCAAGTTGAAACCTTGTTGTGCTTAATAAACTAGATGCTACAGCTCTTCCGTGTCCCCATTAATTGGCATACTTGTTCTGATCTTAGACAGTTTTAGCAGGTAACACCATTGTCTTCCTTGGGAAAGTACAGATGGTGAATCTTTTTTTAAAAATGCTCCAGCCCAGGACACTAAGACCTGAAGTTTGAGGAGTCTGACGTGTGTGAAATGTGTGGTGCATCACTCTTTGCAGATAATTATCCTGGGGTTCAAATGTGGTGAGAGCCAGGGTTCGGCCAGGGTTTCAGCTAGCTTCACTGGAAAAAAAAAAAAAAAAAGTACGATCGAAATCTGTAACTGCTCCCTGGCACTGCACTCTGGTACCGGAAGGTGGTGTTGGGCTGACGACTGACTGCAGCCCAGTTTTGTAAGCAGTGACTGAGCACTGGGATATGCAGGCTGCTCCTCGGGGGCCATTGCTGTGGTGCTACCAGCCCTGTGTGAGGACAAAATGTCTTTAATGAAATCCAGAGTGGATTTGCTTTGTGATCAGTTCTGCCCAGAACACTGTCACAGGGAAAATGGTTTTAATAAATTTCAGTTACTTTGAGAGTCTGCCAGTTCCTCCTCCAAATTTTGGTATTAGAGGATTGGTGCACATGATAACGTACTCCCTCTACAAAAGCACATCTATATTTATGCACGTGGGTGTGTGGATATGTGTATGGTACACACATACCTATGTGTTTGTCCCTCATGATCTTTTCTCCCTTCTTCACATATCGGTGACATTTGATTTGATCAAGTAAGGTGGGGTGGGGGTGGGGGTCGGTTATGCTTTGGAAATTCTCAGTGGGATTTTATATTCCTCACGGGTATCTCAGTGCTTCTTGAACAGATTCCTGAATCAACAGTGGATGCACAATAGCAGACCCCTTTTGCCCCCTGTTACAGGGGTTTCTGTCCCTTTCCTTGCCTAAGGAGCAACAGTCCCCATTGTAAAACAGCAGTGAACCCTGGCCATGAGGGAGGTGGCTGAGCATGTGCCCTTTTCTTCTGCAGCTTAGTCATCCAGTGGAGATTTGTGAACAGGGTCCAGAAGCAAATGAACGCCTTCTTGGAGGTGAGTGCTCCTCAAGTCCTGGTTGAGGGAGGTTGGTGAGTCTCCTGTAGGTATGCTGGAGCTGACCATGCACTGAGTCACTGGGAGGGTGGGGACACCCCAAGGAAGGCCACCCTGCCCACCTCACACCTTGACCAGTCTCCAGGATGAGGGTATTCAGTAGTGTGCCACCATTTTTTTTAAGTGTTCTCTTGCTTTGCTTCTCTGATTTTCCAATTTGTCTTACCTGTGCTTCAAGAAGACTTTTTACACTCTTGAGCTAGAGCCATTATCTAGAAGTGTCAGGCGGCACCCACGAGGAGTCTACCTACTACTGTGATGCCATGGTCTAAGTAGTTTGAGGACTTGGGCTGAACACTCGCAGGGCGGTTTCCCATCAAGCCATTCCTTCCTGGGACATTGTGTTCCCCTTCCGTGGCTGTGCCCTTCTTTATGCCTGTCTTGAAATTCCTCGGGGATGCCCTCCTGTTCAGGGACACGGATGGCACATTTTTGTCAGTGGGGTCTTACCTAGTACCTTTGCCCACTTCCACCCTGGGAAGGAAGGAAGCAGGCACCTCCCAGATCCCAGTGCTCAATGCTGCGGTTGTCACCAGGCCCCTTCTGAAGATCCTCTAGCAGAGGCCGAGGGGTTCTTCTCTGTAAGAGGTGTTCCATATTGACCAAAAGTGAAATCCTTTTTTAAATCTGTTGAGTGTTAGTTGTTTAAAAGACAGTGGAAGAGGGCTGAGGTTGTGGCTCAGTGGCAGAGCACTTGCCTCACATGTGGGTTCAATCCTCAGCACCACATGAAAATAAACAAAATATTGTATCCATGTAAAACTAAAAAATATTTTTTTAATAAAAAGACAATACAAGAAAGCTCCACGCACATAATTTCCAGGAACAGATGCGGCTCTCTTGGTGGCAGAGCTCTTCAGCCAACCCTAGCCCAGTACCTGCTAGGAGTAAGGAAGTCCTCACGGAGCAGAACACAAAAATTCAGGTCTCAAGGGACATAAAATGTGAGGACAGTCTTGAGGGGCACATTTCAGACTTTATTTAGATAAGAAACCCCAGGACACAGATTCCCGGGCCCCACCGTGGTCTACCCTTTGGGAGCCCAACTTCCTCCCAGCACAGAGAGGCTGGTGTTGCCTCACACCACTGCTCAGTGAGAGTCTGGTCTGCTGTCCCCGATTCTTCAATGCCCGGCACACCCCCACCTCTCCCCTCTTGAGCTTCGTCTCTATGCCTTCATGTTATTTTTAAATGTGTCTCTTGAATGTCTGTGGCTTGTACTCTTGGCTCACAATGGCTATGTCATAAATGGCTTTTGGAATTCACCTGCCTGCAATGTCCCATGCCGTCATAGGGTTTTAAATATTAACTACCTGAACCTTCTAGACTCTGTGACTTGGGGAAAAAAATTGTGTTGTGACTCTGCAGTTTTTATGGAAACTATGGTTAACTGTCACTGACGTAAGAATCATCAATAAGGAATGAGTTTTTCTAAGCAACCAAAAAGAGCTTATGTTTTCTGTAAAATCTGTCTTTTTCGAGGAAAAAAAGGTGTTTAGGGTGATTTCTTTTCTTTTTTTCCTTTCAGGGATTCACAGAATTGCTTCCAATCGATTTGATTAAAATTTTTGATGAAAATGAGCTGGAGGTTTGTATTACAAACATGTTATGTAAAATAATTTTTAAATATCATCTCTCATTACAAATGATATTTTTCTATTCTCTAATCTGTCATGACCTACCGAGGAAGTTGAGATAAATTCTATTTTGTGCTTCATTACCTGATGTGGGACTAATGGATAGAAAAAGTCATCTACCATAGCGCCCATGCCCATGAGCGGGCAGTTGTGGAACGTCCCCACTGACCTGGGTTGGGTTCGTGGCACCAGGAGAGAAAAACTGGTTTGTAGCAGCACCCTGCTTTCAAGGCCAGGCTGGCCCAGCATCCCGCCTGCCTCCCCGTCTCCACCATGGTAATAAATGGGGAACTTGAGCACAGACTGGGCTGTGAGCATCTCCTGGAGATTGTAGAACAGAGATCTCCTTGAACTTGACATAATTTATGTGGACTAAGGAAAAACAGCAATGGTATTTTGATGAGTGTCCCTCTTAGCTTCTTGCTGTTGGTGTAGGTGAAAGAGGGCAACTTGAAAACCCGAGGAATATCTTGCCCTTTGTTGTTGAGAGAAACAGAGGAGGAGGGAAGGCGGTTGTGTCTGTGGCCAAGCTGGTGATGGCACTCGGCCATTGTCCAGGACATATCAATGGAGTGGCTTTCTGTACTTTTACCTTAAAAGTGAAGACCTCAAGATTAATGGTGTCATAGAAACCATGCACTGTGAGCCTGGAATTGTGCAGGTGGAGTCTCTGAGGCAGGGAGAAGTGAGTCACCTCACAGGTGGACCCAGCAAGGTGTGAGCCCAGTCAGGCCTAGGAACTCAGTTTTCAGGCTTTGGGTGTAGTTCTCTGTTTTATTCTAGTCCCTCTGCAGGAAGAATCATATTCGTTAATCTATGATAAACCTTTACTGGAGATACACGATAGGCAAAGCAAATCTTAGACTGCCTGCCTCATTGCATGTCTGTGCTCCATGGGCCTCTGGATGGGTGAGGCCGATTGACCTCACCTGATTTAATCAATCTGAGGAAGATGAGTTCTTGCTGTCATCCGTACTAATTTGGGGGTGGGTAAGGAAAGTTTCACATATTCAGATGAATAACCTCTCAAGGAGACAGCCCCGTAATATGCCTATGCTAACAGGGTGTGAAAATCCACCATCCTTGTGCTTGAGTTTGGGGGAGGAGGAAGGTGACTGATGTGGTGTCCTTAATTCCTGTGTGAAATGCCATGGCCTTGTGTGAGGGTTAGAATCAAATCACCCTCATTATCTGTGCTGTCTCTGTGACCCAGTGTGGCAGGGAAAGTTTGGAACACGAATCTGCATTCATTGGTTTTCATGAGTCACTAACATACTCACTTTCCACAGCGACAAAAGGGTAATTTCCTAGTGTATGATGTGTTCAGCTTTCATGTCCTGTCTCCCTTACATCTGGTCAATTTCCTTAACAGTTGCTCATGTGCGGCCTGGGTGACGTCGATGTGAACGACTGGAGACAGCATTCTATTTACAAGAATGGCTACTGCCCAAACCACCCTGTCATTCAGTGGTTCTGGAAGGTAAGCCCAGTGCGCCCAGGCCCTGCTCCGCCGAGTTGGGGCAGAGGGCTCACCAGCGGGCTCTCTCAAATGGCTTGACTTTAGGACTGATGCTGGATGTAGGGTCTGCTTGGACTAGGACCATTAGGGAGGGAAGAGCCCTGTCTAGAATTTCTGTCATGCACAGCATGAGATTTGAATCCTCATGAAAGGCCACTGTCCTTCCTTGACCACCTGTTAAAGCAACTTTTTTTTTAGGAATCCATTGAGTAAGAAAAGGAGTTCAGTGGTCTCCAGAGTACTGTGAAACTAGGCCTCAGAAGTGGAAATCCGAATGAGCTTTCTCAGGGTATAAACTCACTGTCAGGGCTGACTTGTCCAAGATGCCATTTTTCTGTGAAGAAACCGTTTTCTCAGTTTTGTTTTGTTTTTTTTTTTTTTTTAACTAGTTCCAATTTGGACCTTTACATCTCTCAACCAAAAATGCAAATGAAAATTGATTTACTATCTTAGGGCCAACACTTGCATCCTGCTCGGCTCAGGAGGGAAGTGAAATAGAAATGGGTTTTTTCAGAGAGATGGAAAACTAACTTTAAAAAAAAAAAAAACTACCCCACCCCCACCAAAAAAAGACATTAAATTTAAAGAGATTATCTAACATTTTAATTTCTAAAGTTTAAAAAATTAGAAATTATTTGTCATTAATATTATTTCTATCAGTAATTAATTATAAATTATTTTTATTTTTTAAGTGCCGGCAGAAGTATGGGGAGAAGCTAAAACAATCTTCAAATCCTTGATTAAGTCTCAGTCACCTATGACTTTGTTTTTTTATTTTTTATTTTTTAGTTATACATGGATATAGTATCTTTATTTTGTTTATTTTTATATGGTGCTGAGGATCGAACCTAGTGCCTCACATGTGCAAGGCAAGCGCTCTGCCACTGAGCCACCACCCCAATCCTCATATGTTTTTTTAATAGCAGTTCAAGCAGCATCCAGATATGTAACATCACACAGATGGCTTTAGAGGCCTATTTTTGCCTCTGTTTTTCCTTCTTTTCATAAAATGTTATCTGTGGGGAATTTGCAGTCTGCAATCCTGTCTCCTCACCTGGGTTCCCCTTGTGACGACCATTCTGGAACACTATATATTTATAATTGGCCTTGAGGGAGCTGGCAAGCCTCAAACTGAGAAACCTGAGCTGGATGCCATCAAAGAGTTTGCTTTTTATATCATTTATTTTGGCCTCTTGGCAGAAGAAGAAAGACCTGGTGATCAGTCACTAAGATTAGAGAGGCTGGAATTGTGGTAGCCATTTAAAAAAAATAAAATAAAAATACTGACTCTGTTTTCAGGGTCAACTGTCTAGGTCTTCTTCCATGGCAATATAAATAAGATTAAATTTGCCTGCCCACATTCCAGCAGCATGTGCTGCATGTCACATGGGGACATGATGGCCTTCTGCCTCTGTTCATAGGCTGTGCTTCTGATGGATGCAGAGAAGCGGATCCGGTTACTGCAGTTTGTCACAGGGACATCCCGAGTACCCATGAATGGATTTGCCGAACTTTATGGTGAGCACCATGCCCAGATCCAGTTCTCCTGTGGGGTTCTAGCCCTGTGTCTCCTGTGGGCCAGGGACACTCTGCCCCCCGAGGCCTCTGCCAAGGCTAGGAAGCCCTGTCAGGTCTGCATGCTCACATGCTCATATGGGTTTCATAGGGTCCTGCGTAGACAGACAGGTGCTTCTACCTCAGGAAAGGCACAGTTTGTGAAGAGAACCATAGTTTTGTATTTTCCTTTTTTCTTTTTTTTCTAGTTTAGTTTTTTTAGTATATCTTTAAAAACAAGGTTTCCCCTACCCACCCATGTGGTTCCAGAATCACCAGGTGATTCTCTCAAGGACGCCCCCCCTCCAGGGGGCGAAATTCCTCAGTGCTCACTTGAAAGAAATCACTCTTCCTACTGCATGTTGAAGCTCACATTCATTCATTTCCCCAAAAGCAGCTATAGATTTACCTGCTGGGCCCAGTGCAGGTGTTGCTATGCTGCTTGCACCTGGGGCAGTTCCATCTGGCAGGTGCAGCCGAGTCTGTGCCATGAGCTCGTGCCACTCCCAATGCTCCCAGCATTTGGTACTGTGCCCCTGCAAAAGGTGGTCTCCCAGGAGTCACCCCAAGCCCTGCCCCAGCAGTGGCCACTGTCCTCCCGTCTTCCCTCTTCTCTGAGTGTCCCTGCGGCTCTGTCCTGCTGCCACAGGCCCTGCTGACATGTCTTGTTCTTTCCTGTCCAGGTTCCAATGGTCCTCAGCTGTTTACAATAGAGCAATGGGGCAGTCCTGAAAAGCTGCCCAGAGCTCACACATGGTAAGTGACCCAATGCTGGAGTGTCAGCCCACAGTGTGCTGCACACTCGGCTGCGTGACGCCAGCCTAGAGGAAGAGTGCTGCACTTCCTACCCATAAAGAGCTCAGGGTGAAATGACAGTGTCGTGATGAGAACATAAACTGCAGTAAACGCCGACAGAACTGGAAGGCATGGTCTGATTCCTCCCAGAGTGTTTGCACATAAAGGGCCAAGGCCTCCATTCCTCAGGACCCCCTCCAGACCCCACCTCCCTGACTCTTCTAGGGAGCAGAGATTTCACTTTTCACCAATTAGGTGTGTGGCAGCTGTGAGCCTCTCAACAGGGCTGGGTTTTGCTTCTACCTTAAACAGGTCATTTGGAACTTAGGTTAAAATTTCCTATAGAAGCCTTGATTTCAAAAGTGTATGTCAGTAGCCCATGACCCCCCAGAATTTACTGAGATCATGGATGAAAGAGTGTTAAGAGGTCTGTAGGTGGCCCATGGCCCAGGGTGGCAAGGAGTGGCACCCCACACCCTTAGGAGGCCCTGTCAGGCTGCAGGTAGGAAGGAGACCTCTGTTGTTTCCTTGGAAGAGTTACACAGCACCCACACAGACTTGGCCCAGTGGGTTTGTGAAACCACATGCGGAGACCTCTTGCTAATCCGAGCTCATGTCCCTGTGTTGGTTTTTCTGCTTAGGCTTTTCACTCTTGCTCCTTAGAAAGCAGGGGTGTGGGCCTCCTGGAAGTAGTGAGCAGCATGGCCTGCCACTGTCACAAGCAGCAGGGCTTCCAGTCTGCACTGACCACACTGGGCTTACATGAGCCACAGACGCTCCACAGACACATGTGTCTTCCCTTCCCTATTGCCAGATAAATCTCACCAGCCTTGTAAAGCATGTCTCCTGGTTCAGGTAAAGTCTTCCTCCGCGTACTTACAGGAAGCTGCTGCTTTAAAGGGAAGGGCCTGATAGGGGAGAGTCATAAAAGTGAACTTGTAAAACATTGGCTGTGAAAGGTATTTTCCTTCTGTATGGAAAAGAATGGTTTTTCCATTCATACCAGTCATATGACTCTGAATGGAGTGAGTGTGGTCACTGCCTGTCGGGCCTTTTTGAAGCAAGCCGAGTCCAGCCTAAAAGTGGTGAATATCCAGAACAGTCATTGTCTTGGTTCTTGGCCTTTGTTCTAGGGAAACATGTTTTGATAGTCTAGAGTTTTTATTCCAAACAGTATCAGAGTCCAGGGTAGCATTCTGGGTTCCGACAGCCTCGGTTTGGAAGGCAGCCCTACAGAGCCAAGCCCCAGGAACCAGCTGTATCCATGCAGAACTCCCAGTCTCAAGCACCAGTAAGGGTGAATATTATAAATTAGTAAATTACTGGGCAGAAACATCATCCATGGGTCAGGCAATTTTCCTCTTGATGACAACCTTATGATACACTGTGATCATTCCCCAGGGTGTTAGGACACTTGCTCAGGAATACACAGTCCACAGATTCCCAAATCACAGGATTTGAACTCGGGTCAGCTACAAATAGCCAGTTCCCTTCACTGCACCATGTCCACTTCTGTGGTTACAGCCCTTGTCCTGTTCAGTCCCTGCCCCTCTGTGACCCCGTGGTCAGGTACCTGACTGTTGAACTTCTTTTCAATTTTGGAGCCACGATTCAACCCGCTGACCTTAGCTGTGCAGTGGAACCACAAAGAAGGTGTTTAAAAACACCGATGCCAAGCTCCTGCTTGCGGAGAATAGGACCTGGTTGGTGTGGCATGTGGCCTAGGCAGTGGGACTTTAAGGAAAAAATATTTTCAGATTCGTTTTTAAAGGTAGACTTAGGAAGGGCAAAGGTTACCTAGGAGGAAGAGAGCCCAACTGCCTCTTCCCAAAGCTGATTTTTCTGGTCTCTGTGTCATGAAAGTAAAGCCAGCTGGCCCTCACCAGACTGACCGAGGACGAGGGGCTGGCTCCAGGTAGGACTGCGGTACTCTGTCTGAATGGCTTTCCTCCGGCCAGGCCCTGTTGGTGGGAACAGGAACTCTATGGCCACTTCTTAGCAATGGTTCCGCTGTGACATTCCCCGTGGAGATGTTTCATTTCTTCCATGTTCCATGAGAACATAAAATGCACAGACTGCAAACTGAAAAATCTGATTTAGCAGAGTGAGCAGAGCTGACAGAGCTGGCCCTCTGAAGGGTCCTCGGATGCCCCTCTCAGGTGTCTGACATTCGTGGGGATTCAGTTTATTGTTCTGTGAGAGTCACTCCTCAGAGGTTTAAAATGACTCTTTAATAGAAATCACAGATGCCCCTGCTCTATCCATGATCTCATTGGCCCACACACCCTAGCCCGCTACAGCCTGCTGAGGACAGGGACTGACTCTTGTCATCTAGCTCCCTCGTGGCAGACCAAGCACCTAGACCACAAAGAAGGTGTTAAAAACACCTATGCCAAGCTCTTGCTTGCAGAGAATAGGACCTGGTTGGTGTGGCATGTGGCCTAGGCAGTGGGACTTTAAGGAAAAAATATTTTCAAAGATTCGTTTTTAAAGGTAGATTTAGGAAGGGCAAAGGTTACCTAGGAGGAAGAGAGCCCAACTGCCTCTTCCCAAAGCTGATTAGGTGCCTCTTCAACAGTAACTGGCACCTAGCACCTTCCAGGCATTGTCCCAGACACCAGATCTGACTGACCCTCATAATTGTCACAATTCAAAGACTTGGGTCATGGTGACCCATTCTTACAGAGAAGAAAACTGCGACTTAGACCTCAGCAGCATGATAGACCTCAGCTCTTAATACTCCTCTCTTCACCTCCTCTCTCCATTATGTCTGTATTTCTTAAACTTGAATCCCATATAGACTCTTTTAAAAGGAAAAAATCTTCACAGATCCTTGAGAGTGGGTCTTTAGACCCTATGGGAATTGCAGACCCTGGACTATGAACCTCTGATGTGGAACGCACTTTCTGGTGCCTTTCTGAGAAGTGCCATTTAGGAAGCACAGAGTTGCACTCTCGATGTTTACCAGCCGCTATGAAGTCTGAGTGGGGCTCGTTAAACATGTTAGGGTTAGTGGGGCCCAGCATGGAGATGCATTTGTTTCTGCTGATGATGATCAGTGGTCAGCTTTTAAAACATGCAGAGCGGCTCTGTTCATACTTGGAGTCAGGTCAGCACGGGGTGGGGTCAGCTTTAAGCACAAATGGTGTGGCCCTCACAGTAGAGGCAGCCATGCGTGGGTCAAGGGGTGGGCTTCAGAGCCAGCCTGCGGCAGGTTACCTCGCCTCCCTGTGCCTCAAGTTCCTCCTCTGTAAAGCCAGGGGAGAAGCATTACCTTCCTTAACAGGGGGGTGCCAGGGCTCAGTGCAGGAGGACAGGCACAGCACCGAAACAGGCCAACTCCACAAATGTTAGCCCTCCTCGAAAGATCATGAGCCGCTGCCAGGGTGTGTGGCCATGTCAGGATAGGTGGCCACATTCAGGACATTCACATCGGCAGTCCCGACAGACACTGATTCAGCAGACATTCAGTAAATATTGAATGAATAACATGGATCACCATCATCTACTGAGTGAACCATGACACTGGTCACACTTGCTGCCCTCCAGGCCCACCTGACATGTGTTCAGATCTGACCCTCCCAACACCCAATGAGCAATTTCCCCTTTTCACAGATGAGCAGACAGATCCCAAGAAGTAAGGTGATTTGCCAGAGGTCACATGGCTAGCAAGTGGTCGAGCCAGAATTTGAACTCAGTTCTATAAACAAGTAGACGGTATGCCTGCAGGGGCCATCCACATGTCTGAAGACTTTATTCTCACCAGGGTGGTTTGCAGCGCTCCCAACTGAAGCCGCCTGATGTGTAAGGGCTGTCCTAAAGGGTACAGCTCTTTTCTCCAAACCTCTGGCTAGTCTGCCTTTGGTTAGCAAAGATAACCTGTCATTGGTGTTCTGGAGCCCAAGTAGCCTGGCCTCTGCTTTGGGGTTCACAGCTTTCCTAGGAGTAGGACCCACAGCACCTTGGCTGTGCCTCACTGCTTCAGGACACATCTGCAGATTGGAGGTCACTCTGCCCACCTTGAAGGCTTGTGATGAAAGTCAAGGAGTCCATACAGAGACCTGCACTTGGCTCAGGCCTAGTGGAGAATAAGTGATAGCATTGGAAATGGGCATAGCCTCGCTGCATCAGCAGCCCTGGAGCATGCATTAATGCTCCTTCTAGCAGAGGTTTCATGGACTATTAGAAAAGGGTTTTTCTCCTCGGTAATTATATAGCTTGTTTGGTTTGGGCAGTTTCATAGCTAGAATTTATTTATTTTGTACTCAGAATTGGGGCTAAAACCTTTTCATTCCCTTGTGCAAACACCAATTGCCCCATTAGCCAAATCTAGGAAGTGCTGTTGGAACTAAAGGGTGATAATGGTGGCCTTCTACCTACACTGTTTGTTCATTTTGCAGCTTTAATCGCCTTGACTTACCTCCATATGAAACCTTTGAAGATTTACGAGAGAAGCTTCTCATGGCCGTGGAAAACGCACAGGGATTTGAAGGGGTGGATTAAGGCCTTCTGACTCGGGGCTGTCCATCAAGCAAGTTCCCCTTGCACTTTTGCATTTGCCTAACAGACTTTTGCAGAGCAGGGGGCAGAGACCACTGCACGTGCTGTCTGAGCCCGGCCTCCACCCGGGCCCTGCCCGAGTTCAGATGCGGGAACCCAGTCCCAGCTCGAGTTCCCACCTCTTCTACCACAAATCCTCAACTGGTTGATGTGTACACTAATTACATTTCAGGAGGACTTGTTCTATTTATGTTGTGCCTCTGCAGGCAAAGCCCTTAATAAATATTTTGCATACTTTCTAATGACAATGAATGGAATTAATCACTCCACAGGTATAGTATTACAACTCATGTTTACTTTTTAAAATGATTTAGACCGATTTTCAGATTTTATTTCATTACAATTAAAGATGTCTCATGTACTTAGAAAGTGAGCATATTTTTTTTGTATTTGAATTTCATACCAAGCTTAATGTTAATGACATTTTTATTTTTGAAGTACTTTGACACCCCTCCACCCTCTACTTTAGTAGAACTGGAAGGCTCACTTTTGTCCAAAAGCCTTCCACAGACAAGTACTTTTGAAAGAATTTCAAATAAAGCATTAGGCATAATGATAATTTTTCCATACTCAGAATGAAAATAAACTGGATATTACTTTCTTTTGTACAAATTTAGGTAATAGCTACAGGCTGAGAGAATTGTAACATAGCATGACATTTGTGTTAACTTGAAAGGAATCACACCATTATTCCTTAGAAGTAATTGTGTGTGCTATAACACATTTGAGGCAGGGTTGGACTATCATTTCTCATTGGAGAAATTACTTAACCCTTCCTTGCTGTACAGTCATCATTTTATTATATTTTCCCCTTTGCTGTCTGTCATAGAGACATTTTGAATGAAACTTGGCATTGCTTGATTCAAAACTGCGGAAGCCAGATCCGTTCTGTCTCCTCCGGGTGTGCATTTGCCAACGGCGGCAAAGTAACCGGTTCCTGCTCTAACTGCGCCACTTCTGAAGGCACTTTATGTACTACACGGAGGTCATATCTGGTTCCATTTTTGTTTTTTAACATACACATTAAGTGTGACGATGATTTCTTCTCCCTGCACACATCTTTCCTGTGCGATGTCTATCAGTTGTGAGTCTGGCTGCTGGTGTATAGAAACCCGGATGAAAAGCTGAGCCTACAGACCTGTCCTCTCCAATTGTTTTGTGACTTCTACTCGACTACAAGGATTTATTTAATATACACTTAATGGAACTGAGTTCTGTTCCCTATGACCTGGTGCATGCTTCAGTACCGTGTCCCGCCCAAGTCGTGTCTGTTGTACACTAGATTAACAGAGACTCAGTTTGCTCCACTGAGGTCAAGCTGCTAAACTGGGGGTGGCGGAGGATTGAGGGTGTGTGCACAGTTTGCTTCTTTTCCACTTTTAAGTCTCGTTGCAGAATTCTGTCATGTTTAGAGACTATGTCTGAGACAGCGTGGGAGTGCAGTTGTCCTACCATCCCTTTTGTGTTGTGGTTGTTGGGGAGCACTGGAGGTTTGATTTCTTGGCAGGCATATTTAAGACAAATAATTGTGATTTTGAAGTCTCTGTAATAGAAGAAAGCTCTGGTGTAAGAATTTGCTCATATGCAAATTATGCAGCTCCGAATGGCATGTGAGATGCCCTGGGCGGCTGTGGCTGTGAAGAAGCACCGAGGCCTCAAGTTACAGAAGGTGGATTGCTGTGGAGCTCAGTGCTGGCTCCTGTTCATAGTGGCTTAAAATACCTAGGAGTGACCAGAAAACTTACATGCTAAGTAATTATAAAAAATGATGTTGCTCATTTTTTTTTTTTTGCCTTTTGGTGGGAAATTTTCCCATAAAACCAACATGACAAATGTCTCAGTGGTAAAGGTCCCTTTTTTGTTGCCCTCCTAGTCCAAAGTTATAGTAATCTTTAAAAAAAAAAAAAAAACATGCCATTTGAGTTGAGCAGAGTCCTTGGATGAATTTTGAGAATGATCAGGTCATTATAGGAGGAGAAATCTAATTTCTACTGTGAAAACTGGGATTCTTCAGTCATTTCATAAACTGTGTGCATTTCATGAATATTTTGATTTTTTGAAAACAAACTAGCCCAGGTATTGAAAATAGGAAAATAGAAACTATTCTCATCATTTTTAAGCCAGGAACAGGAGAATTATTGAAATATGCCCCTGAGAATATTTGAACGATGGTAATTGTGAATGGCACATTAGTTTATCTACCCCTTGATACTCCTCCAATTTTTAACAATTAAACATTGCTGTATTTGGGGTTTGGTTAAATGAGAATGCAGTCACTAGTCCTCAGCTATTTGTGAAGTTTTTCTCTGCCTAAAGGCCCCGAATCTCTCCTAGATCTTGCTGTCTGCTGTTGCCTGCTCCAGGCAGCAGTGGAGAATGCACTGCAGGAAGAGCAGGTTTTTGAGTCATTCTCTGACCTCCCTGCTCCAACAACTGTCCTGGGGGAGGAGGTTGGTGCTGCCTGTCCTCCTTGTCCCACCAGCCACACTGCTCTGCACTTCGCGGACTCTGTTGCCCATTTGCTCCCAGGCCACAGTGACCACCATAACCCCTTTCCTCTGGCTCCCTGCAGAAGGTGGTTGTCGGGGCTGAGAAGTGAGTGCTAGAGTTCGGGAAGGCTCTGAGTGTCACTTGGCTGCCTGTGGATCCTGGGTGTTACTGTTCCTGCCCCTGGTTGGCCTTTGGATGAATTTGGGAAGTCCACAAACAGCGTTAGCTTTGGAGAGTGTTGCTTCTCCACTCACTGCCCCTGGAACAGGCGACAGGAGGCATTTTTCTCAATGTGTCTGACCTCAGTGCACTTTCCTTGTTTTTCTGAAACATGGACTGTCCTTTACTTTTCTGCAGCCAGTCCTCTAACAGATCACCAGGAAGGGACAAACTTAAGTTTTGTTTCCAAAGCCCTTTAGAACAGTCCCTAAATTCAGATGGTGGATGAGAGAAAGCAACTTGACATGAATTATTCTTCCCGTGTGAGGACCCGGTGTCAGAGTCTAAAAAATGGTGTGCAAAATATTTGAACCACTTTCTACATCTCTCAATGTGGTGTAGGCAATTCATATGCCTGTTCTTTGACCTTGCAGGATCCCAGTTGACTCTCAGAAGCCAGGGTCACGTGCAGCAACTTTCTAATTGTTCTAACAGTGAGGAGTTGTTTATCATTGACTCTTGTATATTCCTGATTGTTGTGTATCTCATCTCTGAAATGTTGAAGTCTGCAAAGAGAGCTTGGGTTCATCAGCTCTCCAGTCGCTTCCCATTGTACTAGCTGTCTGCTTCCTGTCCTCTCCCTTCCTCACCCAGACTAAGCACCCCTGTGCTGCCCTGTGCAGAGGGGAGATGCTGCCTGGAGTCATTTTCTGATGTGCCAGTAGGGGTGCTGCTGTGCAGGGTGACTGCCTGCCCTGCTCCCCACTGACCCCCCAGATCTTGTACTACCTCTGTCTCCTTCAGGCATTGGGATACCTAAGTCACGTCAAAACTGCCAATTTCAGGACTGAGATGTGTTCAAAAACTTAAAAGAATCCACTTAGTACTTTAACTTTTAAAACTGGGAAGAAAATGTGATATACTTTGGACCACTTTTTTTTTTTAATTTATATAAGCCTTAATGAATGGTGTATATACACTTGCGTACGCACACTCCACCCCAGAGTGTTTTCAGTGTGTGAGAAAATGCTGTAGCTTTAGTATGTGAGCCTTTGTAATGATTCCTAAGAAAAGGGGTAGCTTTCTGTTGGTACAGAATTTTCCAGGAAAACCACTCCTTTGACATCTCTCCTGTATTAAAGATGTTGCCCTCAAAGCAATGCATGTTTGAAGCGCATGTCTCTTTGCTGGTTTTATGTTTGTAATGAGTAATGACATCACTTCGTGTACTGCATTCTCGACCTGGCACCAGTGCATCGAAAGCCTTTCTCAGGAACATAACCTGCATCGACAGAAGCCTGTGTTCCCGTTTAAGCCAGTCTACCCCTCGTATCTGGACTGATTTCACCTAGTTTGTCATGGTTTCCTTCATGTTAATTTTGTGTGACTTTGTTCTTACTACTCTGTATGTAACATACCTGTATACCTACATATGCTGTCCAAATATATGGGTATATATTTGTATAGCATTTTTACACCTCTACAAGTAATCCGGTTTCAAAAGGGAGAGCTCAGTCCCTTCTGCAGTTTTCTCCAAGCTGTGTGCTGAGAATTCTGATGCTCAGAGCCGAGAGAACCCTAGGAAAAAGATGTTAATTCGCTGTCGTTTATTAATTCAGGATCTGTTATCAAATGAAACCTGAAAAAAAAAAAACTTTTAAGGTGAAAAGTGTTTCAAGCATTCCAAATGAATTCTCAATGTTTCATAACTTTTTATTATAAACCCACCTCCTAAAATGAAGCCAAGTACTATTTGGTCAAACAAAACCAACTACCTTGATTTTTTTTTTTTTTAAGGACAACTTATGGATAATGCTCATTTTCACACTCAGAATAGCTTTAAAATAAGGTTGAATTTGATACAGGAAAAGTTTTGTTCAAGAACAAGTCCTTTTTGCTTTTCTTGAGAGCTAAAGAGAAACCGTCGCTTGTTTTCCTGACAGCAAAAGAGTAATGTGGCAAAATGAAGTCATTGTAAAAAGTGATGTGACTTGTCGAATATTTAATAAAGAATTATGGAAGCTGGAGCATTTTCTACAGCAAATATTATGGGTTTTCTGGTTTCAAGTTTCTTAGTGAATGCGTCATCCTGATTGTGTCAGAGGGGTTTAAACGCCTGCAGGTTTGTGGTATGTTCACTTCCTTAATCTCCACTGAAAGTTCCACGCCTTTAGAAATAGTCTGCCCAGAACACACTGCTTCAGCATAATATGAGGATGCCCAATTGTTCTCATCATCTGCCATTTCATCTTTTTAAACTGGCGCATTTTATATAACAGCATATAACCCATATATGAATCCGTTCCTGGAAAGCCAGGTTTCCCCTCTAGTTATCCAAGTGACCCTCTGCTCATTAAAAAGGTTGTAGGACCCAATGACGAAGCTACGGTTGTGCTCAGGAAGTTGCGATAGCCATACCTGTGTCAGTTCCCTTGTAAAACTCTCTGGCATGTTTCCATACACCGTGTCATTCTGCTCAAATAATCTTTGTTTTGGGGAAATTTTTCCTCTTTTTGTTAGTACTGAGCCTCATCTGTGTCCTTTGGCCATTCCCTTGGGGACTTCCTGCTGTGACTCTGGGCAGGATGTGATGGAGTGAGCCCTTGATTTCTTGTCTTTTTCCTTTAGCAGAGGAGCTTGCTGGAAAGCCGTCAACAGCACCCAGAGCTCCTGCCTCCCCACCTGGGCTTACACAGACACACCTATGAGGTGTGT